AGCAGATTAGGGTTTTCCGCCAATTCGAGATTTTAGTGGCCAATTTTTCATCTATTTAGTCAACTCTTTATTGTAGTCCATATATGATTATATATTTAATCCATGATAATTCTATGATTTCTTTTGTGTAATGTAAATTTAATGGTCAACATAAGTTCATACAGGGAAATAACATCTCAATATTCATAATTGATAAAAACAATGAAAGTTAATAATAATGTAGTATCCCTATTTTTTATTGGATTCCTAAAAAACAACATTTATAATGAATTTTAATAATTTTTTGAATTTTTTTAAGGCTTAATCCGAGTGATTCGACCCGATTCCCGATCCGGATCGCTGATTCACCGATCCGAATCGGTTTTTAGGATGTCCGATCCGAGTCATCGATCCGTTTTTTAAACCACTGCTTACAACGATAAAAATTTACAACTCAACTCCACTGCAGGATAGCTAGAAAAGAACTGGCTTATTGAAAGCACAAGTTCTTATCCTTCAAAGGCAATGGAATTCGTATTATATCCATGAAAATTACCTTTTAGAAGAAACAAATTCATCAATGAAGAGTGAATACTGCACTATTTCTATAATACCTAATTTTGAAACAATTTCAGGCGCCATTACATAAGAGAGAATCATCTACCTTTCCAGTTTGAGCCGGAATGACAGAGGAAGCTATTGTAGCCACCCACGTTTTGGTAACACACCTAATGCATCTTATTCTGCCACCCAAAACATGGGTGCCAAGATTAGTCATCTGGTAATCGGGCCACCAACTATTTCCGACTGAAACAAACGAATCAAACAGAAGCGTGGCAAACTAGCCCCAAAATAACGTACCTGCATACATACCATTGAAATGCGAGCTTCAACCGAGTCATTGCTTGAATCTGCAGTACCATTGGCTTTCGATTCAGATACGGCTTCACAAAAGACACCAGCCCTTCTTTGAAGACTCAGTGATCTCGAGCCTCTAAAGCCATAAATCCATGGATTCCTCATATCAAATGGGTTACGACAAAGATATAAGACTCTTGTACCACTGACACTGTGATTACAATCCCAATTGCCAAAAGAAATGGCGAGCTTGAATGGAGAGATGGCCATCGTATAATGAGAGCTTCTGGTCAAAGATTGTGCCCTGAAAGACTCTAAGACAGAGAATTAGGGTTTAATCAGAAGCATTTTCTGCAATGTTAGAGAAAGGAAGAGAGAGGAGTTTCTTTATCTTCAACTAGAAGCGCCTGTGTGGCCAAAAAACAAACTCGGCAGCTGCGCGCGTTTCCTCGCTGTATTTATACCTTCGCTTCAAACTTTGGGTTGGATCGATGGCCATACACTGCCTATGTATATTGCATTGATAACCATCCTCTTTGGGATTGTATAATTTACCAATGGTTATGGTTTGGACAAGGACGTCTTAAACAATGTAATTAAGGGGCACCTTTAAATTTTATCATAGATATAAATTTGATATAATTTTTTTTTTAAGATGGTTTGAGAATCTATTTTCGTCTCTAACTAAAAAATTTTAAACTTCAAAAATAGTTCTAATCAAGTAGATATATAAGCGCATGAAAAGTTTGAAAATGGATGTCTAGATAATGTGTTACAAGATACACTATTTTACGGATTCGAAATCTTTTTTTCTTTCCTATTCATGCATCTCAATATCGAGATAATCAATTAGAGGGTTTTCCAACATCTAAGCAACCTCTTATGATGGATTTTTTAGGTGCACCTCCAATTCTACATTTTAAGGTTACAACATAATATGAACTTTTTCTTTTACTTATTGTATAAGGAGTTCTCAATGTTGCAACATAATATGAACTTTGTCCTTTACTTATTATATAAAGAGTTCTCAATTACCTATAATCATGTAAAATTTAATAGAATAAGTGCTATCACCCAATTTCACATCTAATAGTTAAGATTGATTATGAAATCCTTGCACAAAAGGTAAGTGGTCTCATTATATACATTTCCATCATTTTTTCTCTCCTATTTTTAAAATGAAAAAGTAATGAGTGTGCACCGAATTTCCTATAGTGTTTTGACATCATATTATATGTCCAATGTCAAGAGTGGATGGCTGAGGTTACTTTAATGGGAGGGATTGCATCCACTCAGCTCCTTAGGATGTACAATGACCATTTTGCAAAGGAAAAATATATAATGAGATTATTTATCTTTAGTATATGGTACTCGCAATTAATCTTGACCATTGGATGTGAAATTAGATTACTAGATTCATTTCATTGACTAAACTCACATACCCAAGCTATCAGATTTCACATCAAATAGTTTTAAGGAATTGTAATCTCTTTGTATCAAAAGTAAATGGTCTTATTGTATATAATTCTTTTTTCTAAATAGGTGAGACTTATATAAAGTGCATGTCTTATACTATACAAATAAGACATACATTTAAATTTTGCCAAAAGATAGAATTTCAGTGTCAGAAGCCTTACAATGGCTTGAAAATTCTAATCTAATGATGAATTCAATATTCTAAACAGTGCAGATCGACCAAATCTACAAATACTAAAAAAACTTGAAAAATGACCACCCATATAACTTGTTACAAGATACACTATTTTTCTGACTTCAAAATAATTTATTTATTTATATATGGTTGAGATTAAAAAGCTTTTAAACTTAAAAATACTATTTTCTACTAGATTATTTAGGTCCTTACTTCTATTGGATATGATTATAACCTTATATAACCGCAATGGTCATTAAGCGATATTTTGTGGTGTTGTGGTGCGGTCAATTTCGGCCGTAACTTTTTGAGAAGAGCGGGTGGATGAATTGGTGGCGCACAATACACAAGATATGTATGATGTATTTTCCCACAAGATCTAACATAAAGAAGCCAAAATTATCAATATACACTCACCTATCCATTATTGGAAGTTGAATAAAAAATAAAACAAATCTTAAACTATCTTACAATGTCGTAAATATATTGATAGTTGGGTTTTTCTAAAGGGTGCAGTTTGTATAGAGCTGAGGCTCTAAACAATCAAAGTAGAGCCCACATCCAAAAATATGGTTTCAGTATTGGAAATCTTTGCGATAGCCTTAAAATATATTTTCATCTCTAATTATAAAATTTAAAGCTCTAACAATAGTGTAGATCGAGCAGATATATGAACACTTGAAAATTTTGAAAATTGACCGTCAAAAAATGCATTACAAGATGCACTATTTTCAAAACTTGAAATCCATTTTTTTCTCATGTCTATACATTTTGATGTCAAGATGATTAATCTGAAGATATTTAGGCATCGAAACAACCTCTTCTAGTGAAATTTTTGAGATAGACTCTAATTTGATTGTTTAGAGCTTAGGTTATTCTATATAGGCTTTTTCCTTTTCTCAAACTACTTTAAAAGTGTCAATTCGTTTTGCAAAATTATTAAGATGGTGAAATGATCTCATTTAACTCTATGTTTCACTTATACGCTTCCTCAACAAAAAGTATAACAATTCCCTTGTTCAATATTGGTAACTCAAGGAACTTTTTGGTTACTTTCTTTTTAAACTTGAGGAACGTTTTAGTTGCTTGCTCCCACTTACGATGAATTAAGGGTTTAAAGCCAAAAAAATAAGAATATGAAGGAAAAGTCATATAGGACATGAACAACCGTGAGATCGAATGTGTTTTATGAGACGAAATGTTGGGCGGTCAATAAAAAATATACCCATTAAGCAAAATGACACATTATGTTTTGTGTAGCAAACTCTAAATAGTTGAAAAAAAAGTTATAATGATGATTGTACTTTATGAGGCGAAATGTTGGGCGGTTAATAATCAATATACCCATAAAGCAAAATGACACATTATTATTTGTGTAGCCAACTCCAAATAATTAAAAAAAACTTTAATGATGATTGTACTTTATGAGACAAAATGTTAAGCGGTCAATAAATAATATACCCATAAAGCAAAATGACACATTATGATTTATGTAGCAAATTTCAAATAGTTGAAAGAAAGCTTGATGATAACAATATACCCATAAAGCAAAATGACACATTATGATTTATGTAGCAAATTTTAAGTAGTTGAAAAAAAGCTTGATGATTGATGATGATGAGTGAAAAAAATGAATTGCTACTGTCGAACAACTAAGGCTTATCATTTATTATGGACACTTGCTCAATCCTAAACACTAATTATGCAGACCACTTAGGTGAAGCTAAATTACTGAAACACCTTTTATTTATCCAAGTTATTCAAAGTTCAACAAATGCAATTTAGGAAGTTTTAATAGAATGTTTGGAGGTGCCCTTGAAAAATAAATAATTCTCAAAAGTAATTTGATAATTTAAGTGATATTTTCCTTCTTGCTTTTTTTTTTTTTTTTGGCGTTTTTCGATTCTCAAAAGTAATTCGATAATTTAAGTGATATTTTCTTTCTTCCATTTTTTGGCGGGAACTAACAGCAACAGTGATCATGACCGTTACATGCGTACTGGCGTCCTCCCGCTTTCATGTGAGGACTGGGTGACATTTGCGGGACACACTCTCTCTAACACGTCTCTCGTATGACGTGGCATAATGAGAATCCATTAATGCACTATGATTCTTCCAGTGGTCCATGTTTCCCATTCCCTTTTCATTTTTTCTCGTAATTTTTCAGACTCCAACGCTACTCGTCGAAAGCTATCACACGCTTCATCATGCAACAAGAACCAATCGCTGCCATTTGAAAATGGCTCACTGAATGCCAGTTTTGAGCACAACCCACATTCAGGAACTGAAAAATGGCTGCCATGGCAGCAAATTTAGGCTTAGGAAGCCTGCTCCCTCTCTCTGTTCCTCGCTACTTTAACCCTATGACCAGGGAAATATCGATTGCGACCGGAAGGCGTATATGCCCTCGTCTCTTCACTGGTAAGCCCCTCAATTATGCCTTCTCTCTCTCATAATCTCTTAAACTTCCCTCTTCCTGTCTCATTGTTACTGATAGTTGTTGATGAGGTAGGCAATGCACAGAATTGTTTAATCTCTTGTTCATATTCAGAATTTTTAATCTCTTTATGGATATTGGATTCAAGGTTGCACATAGTTGATGCTATTCTACCTCTTTTGAATGCTCGCTTTATGTTGAGAGTAACAGATAGGGCTGCGAATGGGTTAAGTTCTGTTGTGATTTGTGACACTTAACATTTATTGTGTTTGGTATCAAATTAGGTTTAGGTTTGGGATCAATTACTGTTGCTGGATTTGGTGGTTTGCATTTGTGTTTTAATTAGGATCGTGGTGACACTCATCAATATGGGGATATTATCTGTGGGGAGTTTTATAGGGATTATATTTGTCGATTTATTTAGAAATTTATCAGATAATTACCGGGACTTTAATTTATTGAATTAATATATTTTTTATATAGACTATTTGTTTTTAGATTAGTAAATATGAGTTCAAATTATACACAATAAAAATCATAAAATATGTCAACATTTTATGGTAGCAAAGTTTTCCATGTAATGTATATCAAAATTAAAATATAAATGGTCATTATCCTACTTAATTGCTTTAACTTTTGAATCCATTAACCACTTCTTTCAAATTACTCCTCATTTGCCTTATTCGACTTATAAAGCTTTGTTTAGGTAAATGGGGCATTTTTTAAAAGTCAAATTGCCAATTTCCTTTCAGATTTATTTTTGAAAAATATTTTATCATGACAAATAATTAGAAGACTTAGAATTTCGTCATAAATTCATCAATATATTATTAGCTCAATTATTGGAAATGCAATATTCATGACAAAATAAAGATAATTCAATTTATCGTAGTTGATTGTCACCAAGATTAGGATATTGTTTGTATTTTGGTGATTTGTAGCACAGTGGATTGCCAAATTAATTGTGATTTCACGCAATTCTAGGAGATTTTGCCTCCAAAAAGAGGAGGCAAACTCAGTTTCACCGAGAAATTGCCTCATAATAATGATAGAGAAAAGATTTTGGGTTTTTAGATGGAGTTTTTAGGGTATACAGAAAGAACCTCCATAATCCACAGAGTTTAGATTATCTTTTAGTAATTCAACATGAGGTTCCATCGTCAAATCTGAGAGTTACTAAAAAGAATCATTGGTAAATGCAATAGGAAAATATCAATCTTTTCAAAACTCTCTCTCTCTCTATCTCTCTTTCTTTGTAGTGAAATTTTGCTATGAAAATTATTTGATGGCTATGTAGTTTTATTTTAATATTTTAGATGTCAAAGTTTCTTAAATTCTTCATAGACTTCAAGGAACCAACGTGGATTTTTCATGGAAACGTGTAGAATCGCATGGAGTGATTAGCCAATAATTGACTTGCCAACTAGACAATCTCCCGAGGAGCAGCGGAGGAAGTGTACAGCTACTGTGATCTGTAGTGTTCAAAGCAAGGACTAAGGATGACGATAGAGTCATGAAGGCTTGATGAAGATTATTGGTTTATTGTAAGGGATTGTCCCCCTTGAGTTGGTCGCTCTCGCATTTAGTTATTCAATTTAAAGGACAATTTCCCCTGCTTACAATTATTTGTTGCGGCAATAACAATCATATGCAGTTTGGTTTCTCAGAGCTGTTCTTAGGGACATATCCTGCTTTTCTTTCTGAATTCCAACTGAGGTGACCAAGTTTTATGACTGGTTATCATTGCATTAGGTTATGTTATAGGCAGCTTGTGTTTCCCATGATGGTACGAGTTCCTTTAGATTGCAAAAAGCGTCACCTAGAACTGCGTTTCCTTATAAGGTAGGTTGTTATCTAGATTCCATTTTGGAATGTCTTTGAAATGCAAAGTTGATCTATTGGTGCTCTATGCATGTTTAGATGTCAATTCACAACTTCATGAATCAAAACAACAGGGTATGCCTGGTTTCATTCCCATTTTATTTGTTTTTTGCCCTGCAAAATTCTTTTGTAGCAATTATAAAAACACTATCCTGTATACCATCTGAAGGAACATCATGACTTTGCATAGATGTTTGAGCTGCTCACATCCATTTGCTATATCTTGTTGTAAATCGTCTTGATCACAATTATATTATTCAGAAACCACAATTATATTATTCAGAAACCTACTTGGTTGTAATTTCTGTTTCCAAAACAGAACAATATACAAGTACACATATCTTGTTAGTAATAATGATCTTAAATTGGGAAAGCAATTTCTTACTAATGTTCATTCTGGATCTCCATGGTTTCCATGTATGCCACATAAAATTTTCCATTCCTTCTCACTATCTTTAATTGTCATCTTATTTTGCCATATTTTTCTTTTGAGGGGAAATTGGTGTGCGCATGACACGAATCCTATTTTTATGCCAGTGCACCAATGATAGTGATTAAATACCACGTCATCAGATAGAAACTCTAAGCTGGACTCTATCTTCTTTACCTTTCTCAGGCGTATAGACAATGGACTTGTTTTATTAGTCTGTGACATGTTGGCATGAGCTTAGCATGTATTTCATGCATGGAAACTCTAGGTTAGGGAATTATTGATAGGAAACATTTTGTGTTAAGTTTTGAGATTGACTAGTTATGCCATATGTAAGCCTATGATGGGCAATTAATATTTTCGTATATCTTTATCTCACGTAATGTTAATGAGGATACCCACATTGTACTTCACAGTTTTCAAGTGTCAAGTTGCTGGGATAGATAAGGAAGCTGCAGTAGACAAGGAAAGTCAATCTGCAGAATTTCCTCAGCCATCAAAAAATTGGAAGATTAAGATGCTTTACGATGGGGAATGCCCACTTTGCATGCGTGAGGTCTGCTCTCTATATCAATGTATATCATAGTGCTAGTAGCTATCTTTGCATAACAGTTTAGTAGCGTTGAAACTTGTTAAAATGCTGTACTTTTTACATATTGTATGTGATTACCATTTTGTTATGCTTAAGGAACTGAATGATGGCAAGTTCCTGTGTATACGTTCAGCTGTAACTATCATACTTAGGGCTTTGGACAGACGACTTTGGGTATTTCCATCCCTCTGCCACTCTCACTTGAAGCTGTAAAAGGGGGAGTTTGGTCTATAGTTACCGGGATCACTATATTTGGGAGCGAATCGTTCCGGAAACTCGATCCTAAGATCTCAGAAAGGGATCTATTGATCTCATTTTCTAAAATTTTGGATTTTGATCCCTATAACACATGGATCGAGTTCCTTGGACTTAATATTATATAGACATCAATAGTAAATAAACATAGAGCTAGAGCGGCAACGAGTATCGCAACGTTCCTTCACTTGGGCAGGGCTGCTCAGCCTCTTTCTTTCTCTAAGGGGCGGCGGGCACCTACGAGCCTACCCACGAGAGAGGGGAAAGGCACGAACTACGAGCCTACCCACGAGAGAGGGGAAAGGCACGAACTACAATCTGGATGGGTCCTACACGTCCGGATCAGCTTCTGTTCACAATTACGACGGGTCTCTACCCGTACTCGAGCATCCAGGTACAAACCGACATAAGTGGCAGGGAGTCTGGCGGCCACCAGGGGCGGGGAGGCTCATGCTTGATATTTGAAGGTTGGAGCTGACTGGTTCTGCTGCAGCCAGTGTATCTGGAGTTGGAGCGAGTGCCTATAAAGGCGACGCTTGCAACACCCACCCACACTAACCCCAGCCTCACCATGAGTGCAATTGCTAGAGAACTATGCAAGTGGAGTAATAAGAACCCACATAAGGAGCTTGTAGTGACTAGGCTGTGGTGCTATTCCTATCTAAGTGGGGAGCTCGATCCTACCTAATAGGGGAGCTTGACTCCTAGAACACAGGTATCCTGGGTTTAATATTGTATGGATATCAATCTCTATCATATGGAGTTTCAATCCATCGATCCATCCCCCGATCCTGGAACCCTTCCCGATCCTGCTCCTAACAACTCTTGTTTGGTCTTCTCCAGCTTAAAAAGGAATAAATCTCATTTCTCTGTCCTGCACACTAGATATGGGCTGTTACCTCTGCTCTGCTTAAGACGAAAGTAAAATTGGCAGAGTAACTGAGGTGTCTGAATTAAGTGGTTCTTCCAAACTTGCCTAGAATGAGTGAAGAAATCCATTTTGTTTATTCTCCATGAATCACCCAAAAGAGTTCTTGATGATAAATCAAACTCTTCGTACCCTGTGAATTTGTTATCTCCATTATGAGATCCTAATTTGTTGATGAATCAGTGAAGAAAACTACGGTAGTTAATTCTTTGTTTATCTGGCTTTTTACGTGATGCTTTTGGTGGAAGGCATAGGTCACTGATTTGCAACCTAGCTAGTCTGTCTTTTTGTCTGTCCTTAGCAGCCATCACTTCCCAATTTCCCAATCCAATCTGGGGTGGAAAGTGGCTCCAATTCCTTTGGTGGTTATACCTTTCGAGCTGCTAAATCTCTTTTCTGCTATAGCATTCCCAAATAGGGTTTTCCCTTCTTGGTCTGATCCAAATATAATAAGAAGAGAGCAGTGATTTCATATTTTGGCTTTTCTCTTCCTCGTAGCTGGTGCTGGATTGTTGGATAAAGTGTTGGTTTTAGTGAACCAATATCAAACAAAATTGAATAATATTAATTGCGGTGTTAATTTGAAATATGGTTTCTATTCGTGCCCTAAATTATATATCCTTTTGTTGATTTTTTTCTCATAGTGGTATATACAAAGTGGGCTGTGGCATGTTAAAACATATAATGATGCCTGGTGCAATGGTTTCACTAAACAATACAATTCTTATGGAACAAATCACTGGTTTATATCTTGACAAGGCCAGATTATGATGATATCTTGGCAAGGTGAAAACTTCCCTTGGATCATATTGTTCTTCATAAATTGTTTACATAGTTTTTTCTGTGGTTGAATTGTGTGCTTTTTAAGTCTTTTTTCTCTGTATTAGTTCTGTTTTAAAAAATATAAATCATTTTTTAATTAATTTCACTGAAAACTTAAGCTGACTCAGTTACCACAATGCCTGTGCTGATACTTAGATGCCATTGTTAATAGATTTTCGATGCCTTCAATTTGTTTTTTCAGGTCAACATGCTCAAGGAGAGGAATAAGCTGTATGGAACAATCAAGTTTGTTGATATAAGCTCCAAGGAGTACAGTGCAGAGGAGAATGAAGGCCTTGATTACAAAACTGTATGTGATTGCCTTGAGTTGGTTGGAAGCGATTAGTTTGTTACAGGTTTTGGCGTATCAAATTTATTAGTCCTGCACCGCTGCTCTAGATGGTCTGGTTTGCTGCTTCATTATCATCAATACTGAGAGTATATTTAGGATAGATGTAATTTATATTGGTGCTTGAATCAGTTTGCCCCCCCAACTAATAGTAATACTATTCCTTGCTAAGCAATAGCTCAGATATAGAAAGACATAACATATTTCATAAACTACAAATTATGTCAATGCAGCTTAGGTTGAAAAATAGTAAAATAATAGTAACGAATGATATGCACCAAATAAATTGCTATGTAAATAACATAGAGGACATATATAACACCATCTCTTAAGCTTAAGATTAGATTTTGATAAAGGGGGGATTTTGCTAAAGGGAGTTGTTGAGCGTATCGTCGATGTAAATAGGTCTTTGGCCTTTTCTTCTTTGCAAATGTATGAAAGGCTGGTATTACTAAAAATTTTTCCTAATAAATTGACAATCCATATATATATATATCATTTGCATTGTGGGATATATGATTGCAACTCTTTGACTAGTGATGCTATCCTGGCATATGAGTTGGAGAAATATACTACCTCTGTGGTAAGTTTGAAGTTTTCAATGCACTAAGAGAATAAATTGCTATGGAGTTGGGCTATAATTCTTGATCGCAAACGAAAATGAAGTTGGGTGGGCAAAGTGGATATGTGCAACCAGAATTTATATGATCGCCGCATACCAATGAAACTGAATGACAAGTTCTATGGGACAACTGTGAGACCAACTTTGCTTTATGGGGTAGAATGTTGGGCCGTTAGAAAACAATAGGCCTATATAATAAGTGTAGTGGACATGAGGATGCTGAAATGGATAAGCGGCAAGACAAGAAGGGATAGAATTTAAAATGAATCCATTTCAAAAAATTTAAGTGTGGTACCAATAGGTGATAAGATGAGAGAGAGTAGACTAAGCTGGGCTGGCCATGTATGACGCAGACCTAGTACAACACTTGTTAGGAAGTTCGAGTTAGTTCAAGTGGAAATCTCAAAAAGGGCATAGGATAGGCCCAAAAGGACACGGTTGAAAGTAGTTAGAAAAGATATGGGGATTTGTGATCTCATTGAGGGTACGACCCTTAATAGAGCAGAATGGTGGACTAGGATTCATGTAGCCGACCCCAATTAATTGGGAAAAGGCTATGATGATGATGATAATGATGAAATGAAAATGGTTTGAAGAGCAATTTCCTTATTCTATCATTTCACCAATTTTAAGTACTTGGTGCAGAAGTGAGTGACCCTAGGTGGCAGAGAGTAGGCCATCAATGATCTCCTTATGTGGTAACAAGTTTTGTTGTTGAAGAGATGTATACTTTATCAAGATCTTAGTTTTTTTTTGCCCCCTTTTATCTCTTGTCATTTTTTTCTTTTCTTGCGTTCCATATCTACATTTTCAGTTATGTATATGGAAATCATGCGTCTTATTCTACTTGAAGGTTACTTCTAGTCATTAGTTTTTCTTTTACTTCTAGTCATTATTTTTTCTTTCTATCCATATAGTTTATTTCATTATTCAAATTATTATTATTTGGATTCATTTCACTGGACTTCCACGTACAAAATTCCATTTAGACTTCATATACCTCTCTCCCCTGTCTTAAGAATCAGTGAGTTGATGAGGATTCTATTTCATATAATTGGGAACTCTTTAAGAGTATTAGAGGAGCCCTATTAGGCGTCAACCAACTGGAGAAACTCTTTACATGCTGGCTTCATTATCACTATTAACACTTCATTTCAACATGCAAAGTTAAGGATCCCTACACCTGGCAACGAAGAGCTAAGATGAAAATCCAATTGAATAAATTTTGGGAAATAAATTTAAAATTGTATTTGTCGATGTTATGGTGCAGTGTCCAAATGTCAATGTCTGGAAAAAGTACCTTATGTTTTGCTTTCTCTCTTTGATGTTTTGGTTTTCTCTCATTAGGCTATTCGCTTTGGGGTTTAAGTTTTATTTCTTTGGGTTTCCTGATTTACTAATTTGTAGGAAGTAATGCACTTATACTAAGCACAAAAAGAATTCAGGGAAAAAAAGAAGAAAAATAATTTAGACATCCATCACATTATAGGTAAAATGAAAATGAGCAATGAAAAGCCATCTGTAAATACCAAGGGCCAATTCCCATATAACACTGAAGGAATGAAGAACTTGGGCTGAAAGACCTTTCTCAGAGCACAATTTCAAAATTTTTAATATTTTAAATTTAGTTAGGGGCATCCCACTTTGTGTGTGGCATGTGTGACCTTTGTGCGCCCCACTTCCCACCCTATGCGGCCTACCCACATGTGGGCCCTTGGCCCCCCACGTGGATCCCACATAAAAATTAAAGTCCCTACTAAATTGTAAAATGTCAATTTTGTCCTTTCCAGGTTTTTCACAGTAGAATAATGAACCTTTGAAAAGTTTCTGAAAAAAATGTAATCATAATTAAAGTTGAAAAATAGCATTTTTGAGGTTCTTAATTTTTTTTTTTTAAAACGCACAGAAATACTCAAGAAGTTGATTGGTACTAATAGGTCGTAACTAAGTGACTTTCAGGGCACTTCACCCATGCTAGGATCCATGATCGACAATTGTCTTCTCAAACCAACCCGACGGAACCCATAACCCACAGTCATGTGCAGGGGCTCATGATTGGCCCCTCAAAATTAGTTAATAAATGAAAGAATCATAGTCCCAGTCAAGGTTGGAAATTTGCTCGCCTGAGCTCTCAGGCGGGCTGCCTAAGTAGCTAGAGGCCTTGGGTGCATTGCCCAGGCGTAATCGGGATGAATGCAGGCCATTCACAATGTGGGTGCTTAGACACCCAGGTGCCCGCATAAGTGGCCCTAAAAAATTTAGAGGGGCGAAAGTGCTTCTCAGATAGGGGGATTTTTGGTATTTTTGCACCTCAAACCTTTGTATTAAGACTGTTGGGGGGAGGGGGGTTTGTGGTTTCATTTTAACATCCAAAACCCTTAGAGAACCAATTTCAAGTCGAAATACATGCTCAAAAATCCAAGATCGAACAAAAATCCAAAATTTTCGATCATTTGGGCCTAATCTTTTTAGGGCTTGAAGTGGTTGCAAAAAAAGTTTTACTTGGCAGCCAAAGCTCACCCTTTCGAATCTTGAAGGATTCCATTTTAGAAATTTTCAAGTTTTGCATTAGGGTTTTATGAGCAATTATATATTTCTCATAAGATATTTCAATTTTTTTTTTTTTTGCTGTAGTTGTGATGTATTTCATCATTAGAATGTGGATTCAAATAGTTTTGATGTGTTCTGACTTGTTTTATGAAATTGGATGAGGATTTGAAACCCAAAATTCATTAAACCCTAACCAATTATACCAAGTGCTCTCACTAAATTTTTCGTTCATTATATTTGTGTTACTTGTGATTTTTTTCGACTTTAGTATATGGATTTGTATATATGAGTTGTGGTGATTTAAATATTGAATTTTCTTTTGTGTTTGACTCTTTGATATAATTTATGATTTACGAATGTATGTGTTTATTGTTCGGTTTCTTCTTTTTTGAAATTAGGTATTTTAACACATACTCAGGGAGGTTTGGTATTTAACCAAACCATTAAATTTTTTTTTGACATTTGGCGCCTGACTAGAAAGCTACCTAGCTGCCTAGGCCTCCTAGGTCCCTAATCGCCTAGGCACTGCTTAGTAAGTTTTCCAACCTTGGTCCTAGTATGTGGATTACATGTTCCCCCCAAGAGCAAGTCAAATGCACATAGCACTATAGTACAAGGGAGGTTGTCTTTATGCACATGTACATGTAACCCTTTATAGGGTTGCTTCCCAAAAAAATGCGGCAGTCATAGGTACATGCCGTCCGGACGTTTTGTTGAGAATTTAACCCTCGCTCTCACAAGCCTACATCCGCACCATGAGACCATGAAGCTCTTCTAGCTTGCATACAACATCCTTGGGCATCTCTTCGACCCAACAAGGGATGACCCTCTTATAAACCGTCAACATAAGTACCTATGCTGAAGGAAAAGGGTTTTGGATGTGACACGGGCCATAAACTGCCTAACCCTAGGATAGTTAACCATATTACACTCCCATTGAAGTGCACAAACAACTATAATTTATTATATTTACATGCTCCCATGGCCTTTAAAGGTCGCAAACCCCAACAAGATTTATTACTATATGAACTAGCTTTTGGTAGATTAAATGAGTTTTGAGATATTTGGATTGTTGGACCTGACATGTTCGGCGTTTTGATGCTTCATATTGTCATTTTTTAATTTTTCCTTTGCACTCATTCAGTAGGAATTGTTATGCAATTGCAACTGTAATGTTTCTGACTTTTGATAGACTATAACTTAAGTCCCTTCCCCAGTTCAATGCTTTAAGGGGTGCCTTAAGTGTTTATTCACCTGATCTGCCACCGCTGCAGCTTTGAAAAAAAGTGAGCTCTATTTGGCGATTCTCCTAGACCCTTCTTGCTATAGAAAACTTTTCAATGTTCTCTATCTTTAGGCCAGATAGTAGTATGATGATAAGATGAGTGCCTTAAGTGTTTATTCACCTGATCTACCACCGCTGCAGCTTCGAGAAAAAGGAAGCTCTGTTTGGGAGATTCTCCTAGACCCTTTTTACTATAGGAAACTTTTCAATGTTCTCTATCTTTAGGCCAGATAGTAGTATGATGATAAAACGATTTTTTTATTTATATTATTGGGAAGGTTGGATTTCAAGGTAGAGAATATGAGATTCAAGGTTCTACCATTTAGATTAGGGTTTAAAAATCACTAATTCGGATCGAAACGTGCCAATCTAAATCAGCAATCGATCGGGTCGATTTGGATCCCTTAAAATATTGGCCATTGCCCCCCATGAACCGGCTCTTGCTTTTTCTTTTTCTTTTTTTCTTTTTAATCACTGAACTGGCTGATTCAGTCTGGTTTTGACCGGTTCTCTGATAGAACTCCCCACTTTTTTTCTTTTTTTTGAATTTTTTTAATTTCTGGTTTGGTAGACCAGATCGCTGATCTGCCGAATCGGATCAGAAATCCGAATGGGGCAATTTGGGTCACTGATCCATTTTTTAAAACCTTAATTTAGACAATAACCTTGATCTACTCTACCTGGCTCTTGGATATGGGCAGTAGGCTTGGAGGTCTTAATCATCGGACTCTACTAGCACAGAATAATGTCAGTTTGGAAGGGCACCACTCTTGAGACTTCAATGACCCTTGATGTAAGACAATTTATGTTCTTTCTCTAATGCAATTCTTCTTCTTCCAGACCTTGGGTTAATTCCTAAGAGATTGGTGAAAAGTTTTGGTCTAGCTACGTTACTGCCATCCTAGAGTGTGGCTTACCACAACATCCTTTATCAAATTCTCCATCAAAAGTAAGATACCCTTATAAAGGACTCATTAGAGAGAGTCCTTTGTTTTAGAAACAAGTTCGAGCAGTTTGAAGAAACAACAAAAGATAATGAGAAACCAACGTGAAAAACAAAGCACTCTGGGTTCTTTTCCAAAAAAGAATTGAAGTTATTGAAAAATAAATTGGTTTTTGTCGTCTGGAAAACGAGTGATAGAACACCAGAAGAGGTTTTACTGCCTGTTTTAGACCTTTACATTTGGAACACTGTTAAATTAGGTGATTTTGGTCAAGTGTTCATTATGTAGTGATTCCCTATTAATCCAGGGAGTAGTTTGGTCAATGTATTATGATTTCCTGTTGATTTAGGGGGATTTTAGTCATTTTCTGGCAGTTCGAAATGTTTTGATGGTTCAAAGGCACAAGCTGCTATAGTGGTTCTTGAAATCTGCTTGTAGCTGCTCTCATAGAAATGAGAGTGGCTGGTGGTAGCTCATGAGAGCTGCTGGTGGCTGCTCTGATCCACAATTTGTGGCACTCACATTTCTAGTGCTGTGGCCACAAGACAAAATTCCTTCTTGTTTATGAATCCTCAAGCCTTCTCGAGAATTATGCCCCAAATTTAGTGTGGAACTGTTGGTGTGGTTGTGGAGCCTGCCCCTTCTCCTTTTCTTCTTATACAAATTACTTTTTAAATTTTCTAGGCCCTTTAGTGAGCCTATTTGATTGTCATAGGTCGCTTTCTTTCGCTTGGATAAGTAAAGCCTCCCCCTTCTCTTTTGTTTTGATTGTTGTGCTTATTCTTGATATGAGCTGGTTTTGCCCATGCAAAATTTCATTACTTGAGCTTCAACACAATTTCGTGCAAGAACTGTTACTCTTGTCCCGCTCTTGGTACTGTGCCATCTAGCTTTCTAGAGCTGTCGGGAGCAGGATATGGCACTCAAAAGCCTCCAACAACTTAAACTCCTGCCCAACTTCTTAATTCCTTTTCCTTTTAAGCTAGGATTGCCCTCTTGATATTTGCAAATTGCTTTACCTGCTCATTTGTCATGTTGCTCTATGGCAATGGATGGTTAAATTCGTTTTGCCCATTATACAGTTTAACTTCCAACAAATTAAATAAATAGAGAAAACCTTGGGAAGTAAAACCAAAACTTTGAAGGAAAAAGCCTAACAAGAGAAAAAAACCTACAGAGAGAAAAAAATAAAAAAGAATTGAGAGAAAAGTGGAGAAGTAAGAAAGAAATTAAATTGAGGTTAAGAAAAAATAGAGCCAAAACCTAGAAGAGAAAAAAATGAACTAGATAAAACGAGAAACACTAGAGAGAAAAAAGCAATAATAGAAAGAAAAGCTAAAACATTAATTCAATAGAGGTTTAGGGGATTCACAACGTTATTTTCTTTGGTCACTTCAATTGATTATTGTTTTGAACCCTTTCAACTCTTTTGGCTTCACTTAATATGCAGAGCAACATATGGTGACAAAGATAGAGAATTGATATTATGAACATAATCAATGCCCTTTCCAAACTTAAATTAGATGTTCACTACAATATGATAAAATGCCCTTTTTCGACTCGGTACTTTCATATGGTGGTTGGTTGTATGTATCTTGACTTCTAAGAACTATCAAATGACAGGGAAGTTAATGCTACTAAATAATCCTGTATTGAATACTGTTCATGATATTAGCAATAGAAAAATATACTGTACTTCTGAACATGCTCGATACACTAGGGTGTATTAGGCTATTATAGAATCAGTATAGCTATCCTTCCTTCAACAAGGCAATGCAGTTTCAATCTAAATGGAAATGTATCACCTTTGAAAATTGATACTAACTAGGGACTACCAGTGATATTGGTTGTCACAGGTTTTACTGTATATGCTATTATAGAATCAGTATAGCTATCATTCCTTCAACACGGCAATGCAGTTCAATCTAAATGGAAAATGTATCACCTTTGAAAATTGATACTAACTAGAGACTATCCATGATATTGGTTGTCACAGGTTTTACTGTATATAATTGTAAAACTACATAATTTATTATGAATTTACTTGATTTACATGGGAGCTCATCCCATTCTGCTAAAAGGTTGCATGTAGTGCGAACTTTGTAGGAGTTTTTCTTGTTCATGATTCAGTTATTCTAGCCCTTGTGGCTGTTTCTGTTCAATCCATCGGCAATTGTTTTAAATTGTTTTCTCAAACCAATATTTATACTTGGACTCTTGTGAAGTTGGTTGATGACATAATAGTGGCACCAGTTGGGTTCTACAATGAAAAGTAACTTTGTTTTTTTCATGTTAGGCATGAATAAACTTTTCATGTAATTATATGGAAATTTTTTATGTTGTAATAGTTAATTACAAACTAGAGCCATTCGTAACTAGATTAGTGATGCTCATAGGTGGGGTTCAAACTAGGATTTTCAATTGTGTTTTAATTTCAATTGTGATTTTGCTTGGTAAGGTGGACTACAACAGAAAACATTGCAGATTTATATACATTTGTGTTTCATTGAAATGTCTTCTAGTGACGGAGGTTTGATATGTGTCATTATTTTGGTGTCTTGCTATATATGCTCATTTTAAAATTAAAAGATAATATATATTTATATATTGTTTTCAGGCAATGGGGAGAATCCATGCAATCCTTGATGATGGAACTGTGCTCAGAGATATTGCTGTATGCCCATTTCCCATCTTTAATTTCCACATCTGGCACTAGGACATTTGACTGACGGATATGAGGGTTCCACATGCTGCCTTTTCTAAATGAATGAGAAGTTTCAAATTTTTCACTAGTTTTTTCTACAGCAATGGGACTCTATGCTCTTAATAGAGGAATATACTTTTGTATCCATTTACTTGCTGAGTGATGTCTTTATGTTTTAATAATCTATTTCAATTTCTCAGGATCCATTTTATCATTTAGGCCCAAAAGGTATTCTGGTCATTTTGACAATCTATGCATACTTACAATGATGTTTACTAATCAATTATTCTCATATTCTTAATCAAATCTGTTCTATTGCTGCGCTCTCAGGTTGCCAAGTGATAAAACTTAGTTTTGGCATTTCTCTCACTTTTAAAAATCTGGGCTACTTCTCTAACTCGCCTGGATCCCAAGCCTGAGTCAAAGACAGACTCGACCGATTCTCAGTTATGCAGACTTTTATGTTTCAGGTTAGACTCACCAGCTTTTTAGGGTTAGTCATCTGCAAGCGGCACCCAGCTGGGTCTGAGTGACAGAACCAAGTTGAAGCCCAAGTGGGCAATTTTAACAATTGATTTCTAGTGCCTTTTAGGGATAAATCTTCATACAGATTCACTTATTTGTGTATCTTTTTTTCCGTTAAGCTCTGATCTAGGTATCAAAATGTGTACAAAGTCTTTTATACTATGTTATTCATATTTGTGATGTGTCTGAACCTTTTCTCCTCAGAAGCCTCTGTTATGAATGCAACTGAATTCCATCCAACCCGAGAGAAGTTCATTCAATCTCTGCAATCATAAGCATTTTTTAAAATGATCTTTGCCACAAGAGCTTTGTATCTTGAGTGAATTCATTCATGAGCTATAAGTTCTCTTCCAAGATATGTATGGCCATGGCCAAAGCACCTGGGATATCAACTATATCCTATCAGCCCTATAGATTCTAGTACTATCAATGATAGTCCTGAAATTTTTGTGTTCATTGCCCCCCCCCCAATCTTGGGAATGAGAGGGATAAAAGTTGGCATTGAAGAGCTGAATGCAGTTCAGCTTTTTGCAGTCTCACAAAAGTGATTAAAGAATATTTCTTTTAATCTTTGTCTTAGAGTATCCTAATGAAGTAGTAAGAATACTAAAATATTATCATGCTCTGGTATTTCTCTTATTTCAGCATATCCATTCTTGAAGTTCTGGTGGCTAACTTTATTTTCTGTTGAGGTGATTCTTGACTACTTGTCCATAAGGACATGTCTTTATGAGCATGAATATTTTTGTAGGCATTTAGAGGGTTGTATGAAGAAGTTGGTCTGGGGTGGGTGTATGCCATGACAAAATATGAGCCGGTTAGTCTTCCTCTTGAAGTATTTCATTTTAGAGTGATTATTGATGATTGGTTTAATTTCACATAGTTACGCTGTATATTATCACTAATATTTTCATGCATTGCCAGAAACTAATCATCTAATTGTAGATCAAATGACATTATAGATTTGTGCAAGGAAGCATGTCAATTGAGGCAGTGTGAAGTACTTGTTGATTGTTGCCGGTGATTAGACTTTTTGTGCCCTCTGGACCATGAAGTTTCATTTCTCTAAATTCCCTTAACATAGTTAAATTGAACATCACTCAAATCATGAATACAGGATTATGCCCCAATAGATGATGACTGTATCATTGAATGGAGCGCTAGATGTTCTAGGAATTGAAGTGGTACAGGAGTCCTATACCCTGACCTCTACAAGCAGTTCAACAGGGAGGGTGTCAATAACATCAGTTGAATGAGAGACCAGAAAAGCCAACTTGGTTCTTTTCTATTACATTACCAAGCACATTATCAAGGCTAGGGTGTACAGTTATTTAGATAGGAGCTTGGATGTGCTTTTTACTTGGATCTCATAAGCATTTGAACTGACCTAGACTTTGACCAATGTTCCTGAATTAGCTTAGCATATGTAGTATAAGAAGGATCACATATATACAGGGAAATTTACACCAACACTCTCCCATGAATCAAATCATCACAAAAGCACTTCACCTCTACAACATGTACATGAGGCACTAAAACCTTCCCGCTAATTGTACATCCAACTCCCTCCCTACATTTTCAACCAAAATTAACATTTTCTCATAAACTGGCCTTTTTTTTTATCCTAATTCACTTGATACCCAAATCTACTCTCTCTCTTTCTCTATAACCTCCCCCTCTCCCTTCATCCCTGCTACTCCCTCTCCATCTCTGCCTCTCTCTCTCTCTCTGCTTTCTTTTTCTTCATCTCTCGTCAGAAATTTCAGTTGGACTATCACTGGAGATTGGGGTGAGCTAATATTTGATTAGAATTTTATCGGGTTTTGAATGATTAACCGATGAAAAGAAATCATTTTATTGACTCGCCCCAATCAGAAAATCTATTTTCAGTTGAAATTCCAGCTAAAATTGGCAACTGCTAGCGATACTGGAACTCCATGGAAATAATTGCAAAGCTTATGTTAAATGGGAATTATATCTCTAGTTAAATACTAAAATCAAATAGGATATTGCACAAATTTAGCTAGACATGAGCAGCAATCAGTTCTCTTGTTCAATCCCTTCTGAAATTGGTAATTTACAAGGCCTTGTCACCTCTCTGAATATGAGTAGGAAATATCTCTCTGGTTTGATACCAGCAATCTACTCTATCTAGACTTGTTATCTTAGACCTCTTTCAAAATGCTTTATTGGGGAACTTGACTTTGTTGGGTAGGATTAAAGACCTGTTTTCCTCAGTGTTTATTATAAAAACTTCTCCAGTTATCTCCTTCAGCAGGTTCTTTTCTTCTTGAAGAACTTGGGCTGCAAACGCAACAATGGAAAACATCTCCTTCTCTAGAACCCACTTGGGTTTCATTATAATTGCCACTGTTTGAAGCCATTGAATGGCCATTAATATCTTCACAATCTTAACAACTCAGTTTTTCAGGAGGGGGCTTGAACGTTGTATTCCTGAAGCTGTACCGCCTGAATCTGGGCAATTAGAGCTCTTTCTACCTATTTCGTTTCTCAAGATGTTGGCTTAGAAAATTCTTCACTCTTCCGAATTCTTCGAATGGTTTTTCCAATGGGGGTCGTGAATTCAAATGCCTAGAATTTTCTCTCCTCTAGATTCTTCGCCTCAATAAGCAATTTAGAGATGAAGAATAAAGAGTTTCTCTCACTTTATTCACAAGAACTACAAAAATAGGCATACCAGTTCTCTCTAGCCATTAAACTCACGAATTCAATAGAGAAATGAACAAAAACCTATATTTCACAAAGATTTTAGGAATATAGGTATTTGGGGTGCAAAAGTAGAGAGATGGAGAGCATGAAACCACCAAAAAATGGTACCTTATTTGCCTGAAAGGAATATCTAAGAAAATAGAAATAGAAAGTCCTGGACTTTAACGGATGATGACCATGGAGACAACCCACTCAAATGCCTCTAGAGGAGAAAGGTGGGGCTTGTATCCGAGAGAGAGAGAGAGAGAGAGAGAGAGAGAGAGAGAAGACGTCAGACTTGACGGTAATTAGGCATAAAAAGTAGGTTAGTTTATGACAAAAAAAATTCATTGCTGTTGAAAGGGTATGAAGAGGGTTCAATTTATATGGGAGGTTTTAGACCCACATGTGAGTGTTGAAGAGGTAAGGTGTTTTTTTGACAACTTGGTTGTGGGGAGGGGTACAACGTAAATTTTCTTTATATCTTTCCTATCCCATAATTGTTGCAGTGCTATGTCCTGTTCAATATCATGTTTAGTGATGGACCACATATCTTGTTCTAGTTGTACCAATTATAGTTCTTGAAAATGCCTATGATTCCGAATCATTTTAGGAATCGAATCAGACTGCTAAGACTAGATCCCCATGAGCGAATGAGCAAACTTTGGCAGACTTGTCAAAGGCTCTCTGCATTCTCCCCTGATTGAGCTCAAGGTTTTATTGAGCTTCTAGCCTCTTTTCATCAAGGGCATCTAACTCCTAGTAACGTAGTTTAACCCTCTCATCTTTACTCAGTCCTTGATGTATAGCGACGTGAAGCGAGGTTAGTTGAACCTCGAGGGACAAAACTGCCTCACCTCCTATACCAGGGAATAAGGAGTAGAGTCTGTAGAATTCCGGGTGGTGGTGCGATGGGCCCATAGAGCTTCAGGTAGCTTCTCATGCTAGTTCTTCTTTGACTTTGAAACTGACTTCCGGAGCACCGCGCACAGGGTTTTATTCAACGGGCCTCAGCTAAACCATCGGCTCGAGGGTGGTACATGGTTGAGTACTTCCACTCAAAACCGAACTGGCTAATTAGGTGATCAATGTGATGGCTTCTGAACTGAGGGCCATTATCAGAGATTATTCAGTCCGTAACCCCGAACCGATATATGATGTGGTGACGCATGAATTCGGCCACAGTGGCCCCTGGAACCTGCTTAAGAGGGACCGCTTCAGCCCATTTGGAAAGTAATCTATCGCTGCTAGGATGAAGGCATGACCCATAGCAGAAGGAGGGTCGATGGGTCCTACAATGTTCATACCCCATTGGGAAAGGGCCATGATGCCACTGTGGGATGGAGAGGCTCTGGGGGTTGATGAATGAAGCTCTAGTGCATTTGGCACACCTGGCATCTTTTAGCATAGTTTTGGGTATCAGCCAACATTGAGGGCCAATAATACCTGAGTCTGGGAAGGAAATTTAATTCAATTTCTGATATTTAAAGATTAATTTAACCTAAAACACCATTGGGTATCTTAGTATCTTTCATATATCAAACAAATATTATATTAGTACCCACAACATTTACAAAAATTATTAAATTTGAAGTATTTTTTTTTTAATAATATTTATGCTTGGTAAGAGTTGTTAAAAAGTACTATGGAATTCAAGTACAAAGATAGAAATTAGAAGAGAAAATAAAATAAAAAAGTCAAATATTTCCAAATTTAAAACTTGATTCGATGTTGATCGAAACATTGTTCAGTGCATTTGTGAATCATGCTTTTTAATAAAGTGGAATTTGCTTCCAAACAACATGGATTTGCAATTCTTAAATAATTGGAATCAATGTCTCGTACACGTAGAATCGTATTGTTGTGTAGCTAAGAATCATGAACTCTACGATATGGAGTCTGGATTCCAGGCTTCCAGGAATTGAGATTCATATACTAAATTGAATTGCATTTTTAGAAACTTGGAAACGTGATTCCTTTCTTCTAAAATCGAGTTTCGTCCTCGGAAACGTGGAATCGAGATTCCGAACCGGAATCATGACCTCAGTGGGCGATTTGGGTAACTATAGTACCAATCCTGCATCACTTGTTTAATGACGTACTGCTTCAATATATTTTAACATGTTTCTTGTTGTTTCAATGCAAGTTAGATTGGCATGGATGTTCTATTCAGTTATATATTTTTTGAGTTACTTCCAGATCATTCTTGTCCTTAAATAAATTATGGAGTTACTTTTTTTAGATTGCATGGTGCCATTGTAGATTCCTTCTGCATATTAGACCAAGTCTATTTTAACTATGTATCTATAAATTTCCCTAGCTGCAAGTTTCATGCGTTCAAAATAGACGTATGAGACTCAGGTTTATGAATCCTTGTTTTTTGTGCAATACATCTATCAAGTTTCACAATCCCACACCTTGGTGTCATGGTTCTCAAGTCGAGTCATTGTCAAAGGCCTAGGGAATTTAGGGATTTTATGTTACGTGTGTGACTCTACTGAGGCATGTGTATTTGTATGATCTCTACCAACCAGACTCCAATTGATAGTCATAGATTGCTATTTCAACATAAAAATCAACTAACAACTGTCACAAATACACACTAAACTCATATAATTATGTTTCACCATCAGGGTTATGAATATTTCTTTGATACCATATTCAAATGAATCAGGATATATTCTTAAAATGAGGGATTGGTTCTTAAAAATAATGTGAGCATGTATTTTATAAGAGTGCCCTTTTTTGGTTGTATACGAATGTAGTTTAGAGATGCATTCAGACAACTACAGTTTTATCTCTGAGGTTTTTAAGACTCTTTGCCTCCATGACAGATTCATTACTTGGCCGTGTAAGTGGTGAAGGGATGGAATATTTTTTGCAATATTTTACATTGTAATTACTAATAGTAATCTTTATTTTTTAATCATTTGTGTTGTTGTCAACGAATATATCATGCATTTGCTTTTTGGGTACGTATATTGGGATGCAAGTGTAAGAGGTTATGTCCATTACACCCTGATCATTAAGCCAAAAAGCTAGATCTAAAGCTGTACAGCTTTATTAGTACCATATGTTTCAAAAATACAATCTATGGGTACCACTACATCAATTTTAGGTGATTTTAACCTATGTTCTGAAAGTTCTGGTTATGGATATGTTATATGTTTCCAAGTATCCATGCATCACTGACTTTGTATGGCTTGTTTGCTGATTTTTAATGTTATTGATGCACCATTCGCTAACATATCATGAGCCTAAGTGTATTAAAATTGGAGTATAAATTGTTATCCATTGAAAAAGGGAATTAAATTCATTTCTTCCCTTTTCTTGCCAAATCTGAGGTAGTTTTATATCAATACAATATGAAGATCAAGAGTATATGGTCTCTACAGGTCTTGTGTTGAACAAACTTTCTTGATTTTACAGTCAAAGAAATCAACCTCTGGAGCTCAATGTTGTTATTGTATTTACGGTTTCAATATTATCTATCACATTTGTCTTAACCTACAAGTTTGAATGTGTTGTCTTTCTGTTTTATTAGTTACAAGTTCTTTACATCCACCGTCACATCCAATGATAATTCCATTGAATTACGCCTTTGTTATATATTTACATGTGGAAAAGTCACTTTGCATCTGTAGCAATTAGTAAATAGTAAGTACTGAAACCTTGAAGTTTATTATGGTAATACATGTACCTGATTAAGCGAAGTTTCCTCCAGGTTGCGACTATTGCTGGTGCCATATATGATGTTTGGGCTAAATACCGCTTGCAAGTTGCCGGTGAGACTGCATATTTTCATACACAATGAGAGTTACTAACTTTATTTTGAGCAAAATTTGTTCTTGATCTTTAATTTTTTGGAAAATTTTATATGCTCGGCATTGACTAAGATTCTAACTTTCCATGAAATTCTCTATTGCCAGTGATTGATCCAAGTGCTGACGCATTTCCATAGCATTTGTCGTAATACTATGTCATAGCTTAGTTCGTAATTATTTAACAAACATTCCAATAAGAATTTTATCTCAGAGGATTGTATCGCTCAATTGATTTAATTCATGGCCATTTTGATGTTCTCTTTAAAATAACTAGGGAACCTTATTTATGTAACTAATTCATAATTAACAATATTTGAAAAGAATTTTGTGGTTCATTACTTGATTATGTTTCTCGTTAATTTTATTCTCCCACATCTCATGTAGAACTAGGAGTTTCATGGAAAGTCGAGCTCGTTCGCCTAGAACTCTCATAAGAGTAATTAATATGCCACTTGCTTGTTATGTAGTTGAATCCTATTCTTTGCAATCTGTGGATAGCCTGATGCACCTTTTGCCTACTTGAGATACCTCTGATGTTAGGTGGGATACATTGTACCAGTAATGTTTGTCTTTGACAACATGTTTATACTAAAGGTATTTGAGTTTTTGATTGAGGTCGTCATTGTCAATTATATTTGGGATGTGACATTGATTATTATATCTTGAAACTAAACTACACTTTTGGAGATGTTGATATTTAGCATATATCTTCATGTTGCAACAATACATGTTATGCTATTTTCTTAAATGAGTATAATGTTTTCATATTTGTCATTGATGCATATCTCATTTTCACATTGTTTCTAGGGATAAATTTAAATGTTTCTTTTTTTCCTTGGAACCTTATATTTCAAATAGGCTATTTAGCGTGTTTCGTTATATGTGTTAAATCTCTGCACTAATCAAGGTTTATGAATATTTCTCTTTTGATTTTAGGGCGGCCTTCACTGGAAACAATATTGGAAGCGAGAAAGGAGAACATGGTAATAACTTCAATTCCCATAATTCTTTTTATTGAAAATATTCGTAGCTAATTACATCAATTAAATCAACTCTTACCAATTTCATACTTAAACGCCGATTAGATTAACTCTTACCAATTTCATACTTAAAACAAAATGCCTTTGGCAATGCATCTATGGAGGGAAGTACTTGACTTTTGCTGGCCTAATTTCTCATTGGAAGCTTACATGCACAATTTATTGGCAATGTTGTGTGGACACTGAGACAGGTGATGGCATTGGACAAGAATGTAGGTTTCTTCCATTACCTAAATATCTTGACTTGTCAATACAAAATTTAGAATATTCAAACAAATCATCTCAATACTTCCCCAAAAGTTTCCAACACTTCTAAGGAAGTGTTGTTCCGCTTGCCAATAGTTCTTACAAAGTGCAACACTTCTAGAGATATCTTTTTTTAATCAATTTTGGAGAATTTTCAGTGGCATCGTCAACACTTCTCATGGGGTGCATCTTTTAACTAAATGTTGGTAGCACCTTTAAATTTTTGTCTCGTGTAACACTTCAAAATTTGAATTGGACACTTAACTTAGCAAGTATTAGCATTTAACGCAATTGTTTTAATTTTCTCTCCATAGGTAATGAGCTATGAATATCATCATAATGAATGACATTATTTTGAACCATTGTGTCCTTGTGTAATATCAAGGTCGTTTGGAGATGGGGGGCTTACATAAATATAAGAGAAAAAAAACGTGATATGGTAAGGAATCGGGCTTGGGTCAAGGCGGTAGAGGCTTGATTTTCGTAGCCGAACGTCTCAAGTTCCATTCCTATGTGACCTTGTCGAAAAAAAAAAAAACTAATATGGTATCCAATTCTTTGCAACAACTCATATGAATGGTATTACCAAATGTGTGCCTATCAACCCATGAAGCATCAACACTTAGATACTTATTGTTGTCCGCACATGATTCATATTTGGTGTTGTTTAGTGTCAAGGACTCATGTCAAACAAATTATTGTTGGTTTTATCAAATCTCGAGTGGCAGGAATCAAGGCAACTGCTTTAATCCCTCAATCCTTCTGAGTTAAAAAAAGAACATGTTATCTAAAGAAAGCGTGGTCGTAGTGCTTGGAACCGGGGTGTTATTATCAATCACTTAAAGCGGGAAAAGCAGAAGAAAATTGTATATATTAATTAAAAAGCAGGTAGTTTTAAAGGAACATAATGTTTTATTGTAAATCACCTTGAGAGGTTGAAGTTAATGCATACTAAATAGATATATTGCTTGTTCAAAGTTCCAAACACAATACATGTTGTTTTGCTAGAGAATATATTGTAGGGATAGCGATGAGTTGGGTCGGGTTTGGGTCCGAGCCTGGACTCTAACTCACCGGACCTGGACCAAAAAATATAGTGTGGGATGTGGACTCAACCCGAATGGACTTGACCCAAAAATTAAAATATCTATGTATTTAATTAGATTTAAATATATTTCATATATTGGGACCCGAACCCAACCCACTGGGTCCAATTTTTGGAACCATACCCAGACCAAATCGGGTCTACCCCTCGGGTCCCAGGTTGGGTATGGGTCCATTGTCACCCCTAATATATTAACTTGTCGAGGCAGTAGACAATGCTACCCATGCTTTTTCTAACTTCCAAACATAAAGTGGGTTATTTTAAGGAAAACATCTTATTATGTGTTTTGCACTCAGAACAATGCAGTATTAGTGCTAAGAGCCTGAAGTGGCAGAATTTAGTTCAAGTTACATGGATACCTAGGAGTAGCTGGGTGATACGATTTCACCCAACCATTTCAAGAATAACCTTAACAGTGTCGGAAAAGCTATTTTTCTTTATAAGATCCGCTATTGGTGGTCATGGTGGATATATGTCTACCCTTTCTTTTTCTAACTTCCAAACATAAAGTGGGTTATTTTTAAGGAAAATATATTATTTTGTGTTTTGCACTCAGGACAATGCAGTATTATTGCTAAGAGCCTGAAGTGGCAGAATTTAGTTCAAGTTACATGGATACCTAGGAGTAGCTGGGTGATGCGATTTCATTTCAAGAATAACCTTAATAGTGTCGGAAAAGCTATTTTTCTTTATAAGATTCGCTATTGAAGGTCATTGTGGATATATGTCTAACAATTCTATGCCTTTATAGCAATCAATGTCTAGATTCACTCACCATAGAAAAAAGGAAGAAGAACGAAAAATGATGCATTTTTTCAAAGAATATATTTTCATTTACTCTTTAAGCTAAAGATAATTTTGAAAGGAGGAATGGCTATTTCATAAAAGTTATATTATTCCAATCCAAAATGTGTTTCCAATGTTACGTTAAAATTTTGCTTTCTGTTGCGTAACATCTATAAGCTGCATTCACAAGATCGGTATGGAATCTCTATTTTTGACTCATATCAAAGTGAGAAATGACTACAATTTGCTCGTTTCTTTTGTTCATTCTTTAAGCCATGGACTTTAAAACTTTCATGAATGTATGATCCTACAACTAGAAGGTTGAGAACATCTTGGTGTATAATTTTCTATGAAGTTCCATCTTTATTAAATTAACTACTTTTGTTGATAATTTTCCTGTTTATCCCCATTATTCTTGCAAATTCTTTCATTTTTACTAAATTGACTCTATTGATGAATCTCCCATTTAATTGCAATTCTTAGGAATTCTCACAAATCTTTGTTCGTGAATCTCTTATGTAGATACACAAATCAGTTTAAGTACGGTATTAGTGCTCAGGCTTCTTTGGTATTTGTAGTAGAAGGTAACGGAATACTCTCTGTCATCCTAGGATAGAATGTTGGTGATTTTGTATCCACTTAGTCTTGTGAAATTCTTTAAGTTTCTGCATCACAACATTCGGTTTCTTCCATGGATGTTGGAATCGGGATAGGCTAGATGCCCCATTTGGTCGGGATCACTATCCGTACGCCTTGAGTTTTAGGGATCTCAATCCCAACATGGTAGGGAGCTGGATCCCAACTTTTTGGGATCGCATAATAAATTCTAAAGGTCTGAGATCTATCTAGTAACATCTCTTTTCTCTTTGAAGTTATAGAATTCACGACATCATTACTTTCTTCATTGAATTGATATACATTTGAGTCTTGTTTCCTTATAAAAGATTAATGTAACATGAGTGTGATGTATATCTACTGATCCCTAGGGGATTGGGATCATTTTCCCCCAATATACGGTGAGATCCACCCAAGGTTATTTGGGAAGCCACCAAGTTGGAAGATCCCGCTAATTATGGTTTCTCCTTTAGCTTCTCTTCTTTCTCAGTTGAACTAGTCAGTTGTCTGTAAATAGGCTACCCGCCTTTCAGGGTCTCGGTATGAGTCCAATTTCTGAACCTGGCAGGTTGGGTTTTGATCTAGAAGTGGGAACCTGACAGTCAAGTCGGTTCGGGTTGGGTTCGGATCTGATCGACTTGGATCCGGCCTTGGTCTAGGTCAACCTTGAGCTCTTGTCTAATCAGGGGTCTACATGGAGCCCAGCCTGACCCATTTACACCCTTATTTATAAATTTTGATTGTCCTTGATTTGGATCTATTACATCTTTCAGTTGTCGCTTGGCTTTTGCTTCATAGTTCTATTCAAGAGCAGACTACCTGGTTCCTGGATGAAATGTACCAAAGAAGAATTTAGAGCTGCAAAACAAAACTGTACTTGGAATCCCATGTCTTCTAGATTCCATTTAGGGGCTAGGTTGGAAAGAGAACGCGCAAGTGCACATAATCAATGGCTTTTTGGCCCTTTCTGATTCCCTAAATGATTGAATATCCTGTTAGTTTTTCCAAATTAATAACTGATGGGTGACTTACCTAATGGTACAATAGAAAGTTATGTATCAGCTTAAACTTGACTTGGACAATGCAGCTAAACTTCCTATAATAGAGGTTAATTGATCTCAAGAAATTGCTCTAATTCAAAGAGAATATATTCTTGACATCTAATATTTATTTGATTTACTTCTCACAGGTTCCTTGGGAGAGTCATATCTTGCGTTCAAGATGACTGATGTTTTTTGGCATTGGCAGGTTAAATTATGCAATGAAGACAAGAATTGTGCAAGGTGAATATCTGCTTATTTGCAGATGCCTGTTCATACGCACATCTTAAGAGTGTTGATTATTGTAAAATAGGCATGTTGGTGCATTACGTCATAAGACCATGTAAAGGAAGAAATGTATGAATGTAGTGGAAAAATGTTCTAGATGCCAGGATGCCTCATCCATTAGTTATTAGTAGAGAAGTTATTTAAATGCATTGTGGATTCTATGCTCGCATTTATAATCCTCTTTGTATATTCAAGGTTTCCAAATCTATCGGAATTCTTTCATTTGATGGAAATTCATCGTGCTTAGGATTGTGGTAGGGTTATTATTTTATTTTTTTTGACAATGGTATAACTTTTATTGAAAAAGTGCCGAAACAACAACAAATTACAAAGGAGCTATTAAAGCATCAGAAATTGACAGTGTGAGAGGAGATGCCAAGTTTAGCAAGCCCATCGGCTATTCCATTGGCCTCTCGATAGACATGAGAGAATGACAGATGGAGGCCAGGTGTGGAGCAAAGGCCTAGAATCTTCGACCCAAAAATCTGGAGACCAAGGAATTTTTTGTTCCTGCTTGCACCACTTGATAACGTTGAGGGAGTCGCCTTTTACTGACAATAATCTCCAATCCTTGTAATAGGGATGAAATTTCTGCCTGGTTGGCTGTGCTGTTGCTGCAAGGACAACCTAAGAAAAAATGGTATCACCATCATGGTTTCTCAGCCATCCACCAATTCTAACAGGACCAGGGTTGCCTAAGGTGCTGCCATCAAAATTAAGTTTAAGAGACCCATAGGAAGCGGTCTCCAAATTGAATGCGGGCGAGGACATGGAGAATAAGAGAGACAATATTTCTTTTCCTTATATTTATTTTCTGTGTTCGTGAGAGATTATTTTTCTCGACATAAAAATAGTTGCATCCAGTTATTAAGCGGAAGCTCCGCTGCACATAACGTTTTCTAAACATGAAAATACTTGCAAAGTATTGAAAAGAACCAGGCAGCATTTTCTAAAGATTTTCCATGTATCTCTGGAGTTCCTCTTTATTTTTAGTGTCAAGATCTCCAGCTTAGGGTAGGGCTTCTCCAGCGGCCAGGACAGGCTGTAGGGACGTTGGCCCCAAGCCTAACCCAGGACCCTTGGATAGGTAAGCCAACCTGGCTCACTCCAGGTTTGGGCCAAGCCTAGCGGAAACAAAGAAAACATATACATAAAGAAAAGCAAAGACGGACCAGCCATGTCTCTCGGCCTAGGATTGGCACTCGGGCTGAGGTGGCTGGGCACTCAAGCTGAATTTTTGGCCCTGGCCCTGGCTCTGATGTTTTAGGGTTTGACCATATGGCCCGTTGCCAGCCTTACTCTTCTCCTCCACCCCGAAAGACTCAATTGGTGATTTGTCCATGGCTAAATTAACAAATGAGCTTGTCGCAAGTGACAGGGTTGATTGGAAAGACTTTTTGCCTCATGGCATTGGTGGATGAAAACCATGCCATTTACCAAGAAAATAGTAAAAATTCTAACTTACCAAGATGGTGATCGTTGTTGACAGAACGTCGCGGCCATGCTCAAGAGCTCGAGACGTTCTCTCCAATTTACCCAGCTTGAGAGGTACTCTCAATTTGTCCCTTTCCTAGTTGTAATAGCCACTCATCTTTCTACGGGACCATTGGAAAATAAGATGTTATTTTGAGAGTGACTACAAAGATACCATTTTATCTTTTGTGCGCGGAGGTCATAATTATTTTCAATCATTAGACACTAATTAGATGTTAAATTAGATCGCGTGAAGTGAATCATGAAATTCGGGGATTTTGTTTTTAGAATTTTGTGTTTATTCAATGAAAATCGTACAATCACTCATTTTTTTGAAATTTAAGGGATCACCCATTTTTTTAAATTTAAGGGGACAAGAATAATCAATCTTACAATCACCCATTTTTTTAAATTTAAGGGATCACTCATTTTTTGAAATTTAAAAGATAAGAATAATTACAAATTTAAAGGATCACCCATTTTTTGAAATTTAAAGGACAAGAATAATTGCGACCTCCTTGTACAAAAGATAAAAGGTGCGGTTTTTATAGAGCCTAAGCTCTAAACAATCAAATTAGAGCCTACTTTCAAATAATGTCAAGAAATGTAGTTACAATAATGAAAATATTTGTGATGGGCTTAAAATATATTGTCATCTTTATTTATAAAGCTTAAAGCATAAAAAATAGTGAAGATCGATAGATTTATAAAAACTTGAAAATCTTTAAAATTGACAATGCAAAAATACATTACAAAATACACTATTTCCAAAACTTGATATCCATTTTTTTCTCATGTCCATACATCTTGATGTCAAGATGATCAATTTGAGGATGTTTGAGTATCAAAACAACTTCTTCTAATGAAATTTTTGAGGTAAGCTCAAATTTGATTGTTTAAAACCTCGCCTCTATATAAACTTTTCCCAAAGATAAATGGTCTCCTCAAGACAAACTCAGTTCGTTTTCCATATTTATTGTCTTGTGGCTACTTTCTTGACTAGGGGCGCAATGGGGTGGGTGGCCGGCCTCAAAGAATTAGGGCCAGGGCCGAGGAACCTCCGCCCAAGGGTAGGACTCGGCATGGGTATGGGCATGGGCCCGGGCTGGCCCTCAGTCCACTGCAGCCCTCTTTTTCTTTATTTTTATCCTTACACTTTCTAAAAATTCTTTTGGCCTGGCCTACCCTGGCCTAATAGGGCTAGGGCCAGGCCTATCTTTGGACCAGTCATGGCCAGGCCGGGCCAGGCCAGGCCAATGGGAAACTAGCTAGGGCCATGGCTGGGCCAGCCCTACTTTCATCTCTCTCTCTCTCTTGTGACCCATGAAACATTCTTAGAAGTACTTTACCTTTTGTCTTTACTAAGTTTTAGAGAAAATAAAGGCAGGCAACCAAGTTAATTCCATTTTAGCATTATGTACGCCCTCAAACCTTTTTTCGTACTAGATTTGAAAGTTGCATAAATAGGTAGTTAACTGCAACGAATCAAAATTTTCCCTATAATACAACTTTATCACAACTTCATGAGAAACAAGTAGGAAAAGGTTTTTACAATCTTGTCATATACACAGGAATTCTTTATCCACTCATCAGCAATAAAACAGTAAATATTGCTCAACACCCAAAAATGAATCTGTGACTGACCACTGTAATGAAACCAACAAAAGAGGGTATTCGCATAAGATCATACAATGATATCTCAGTGAAGATGCTTCCTGTCCATGTAGTATCCACGAATGGAACTGTACATTTTCTCTCTGCAATCGTGGATGACTCTGCATGCAAATGCAGTAACCGAGAACATTTCAGGTATGATCACCTACGGATGCTACAAGTATATTTTAGGTATAATCACCTATGGATGTTAGGTAGCAACAAGTGAAGCTTTCTTTTTAAGCTTATTTCGGAAGCTTCTTTTCCTACTGAAGGCATTCTCCTGCAAGTTTGCCAAGTAATTTGGTAAACAGAGGAAAACATTAAGAAATTAGGCAAACAAGAAGTGCAGTTAATCACTTTAAGGGAAAAAGGCTACCAGCCTAGTTGTCCAGCAGAAGTCAAAACAAAATGAAACACAAAAAAATCACATCTGAGGTAGATATGGAATGTGCTACCTAAGTAGGCCCATGATGGAATCTTCATAAAAATGTGGCTATATGCCAAACATATTGGCAGTCTATTAACCAGTTTTTAACCGTTTTCAAGTTCTTAATGGCTGTTTAGATAATTTACTCTTTGGTGAAGTTGAAAGACAACTTGAAAAAGGAATGCTTTAAGAAATTTGAATTGTCAGGTATAAGATTTTGAGACATGTCTAACCCAGATGTTATAGTGAAGTTTAATTATGATGAACCAAAAATTACCAGAGGCTGTCCCGCTTTTTGAGCCTGCCTTACAGTAGCAACAAGATCTCTATTGGATTCAGTGTACAAGCTTGTGACAAGTCCTGAATGACCAGCTCTTGCTGTACGACCAATCCTATGCAAAAAATCTACTGCTGATGTTGCAAACTCTGCCTAGAATCACAGAAAATATAAAGCAGGTCAAAGATGGTTTCCAAAAAACCAGACTCAATCCACGAAGTTGCCAATTGCCAGTAGTCAATAAAATAACAATGTAGTCAAACAGACTTAGTTCAAGCCAAACCATAGGCCAAACCTAATTTCAAGCAACACACACAACAACAACAACAAGGATAAAAGTTTTCAAGACACAAAAAACAACAACAACAGTGACAGCAACAGCAATAAAAGATTTCAATACTATCAAAATGGAAATAATCACTTCATCCATCTAGAGAACACTGTTAGGTGAGGTCAAAGTCATAGAGTTGGATGGCACTGGACTGAAGGCAATTTAAGGTTTCTGTGTCATACATAACCATTAAGGGTTACGAAGATTACATTTGATGGGAACTCAATGGGCAATCTTAGTCGGATTGGGTTCAGGGGTGGCAATTGGGATGGGGGTTGATAACAAATGCTACAATGGTTCGTTTGTGATGGACGATCCAACTTTGGCTGAGGTACAAGAAATGTTTCAGGTTCACCTATTCACAGAGGTTTTCTAAGACTGCACATGATAACAGAGATCTAGTAAATGTGTTTTAGATAGATCAGGAGGAATGTGGAAGCTTAGGGTTTTTTCTAGTTCATTAGTATCCACCACAAAAGTTTTCGCTCAAAGAGGTGGCTTTAACAGCTCCTTCCACCAATCAAACATGCCCCTAAAGTTTTTCAAAAGAAAAACAAAATTTATGGCGATTAACAATAATTCGCTGTTATGAGGAGAGCTATGTGGTGACTTGCTCCTTGATCTTTCATTCTTTCAATGAAATTACTTCTTATAAATAGAAATGGTGGCCAATACCACCCAATTTTTGAATAAGCCTATTCTCCATGGGGAAGCCTATTTTTTGCCTGGCCTATGGGGAAACCTATTTTTTGCCGAGAGGCCCGGCCTGTGGGCCCTCTCAACGGACCACTGTAATCCTTTACTTCTTTTAATACAACAGTTAACAGCATCAAAAAAAAAAAACTAACAGATTCAGCCATATTTCCTCAATTAAATGTAAACAAGTTTGGTAACTTCAGTGATTTAGTGATGTGACCCCAAAGAATATGTACAGATCCATCTATACATATGGACAGATCCATCTAGACGAATTCAAACAAAGAGCTTTGTACTTATACAAATATGCTTGTAGAGAAAGAACCACAAGTATCGTGAGCTGCTCTTTGTACACTAGTCATGAAATGTCTGACATAGCTTTTTCTCCTTTCTGATCAAATTATTAACCATTTGAAATCAATCATGACTTATAATCAATATGCTTGCATGGGAAGAACCACAAGTATTGTGAGCTGCTCTTTTGCACACTAGTCATGAAATGTCTGGCAAACCATATATAATAATGCAAAATTCCATAACCAATCCAAACTGAGCTGCCCTAGAAAACCTTTTGTACACTAGGCATGAAATGTTGGCATACCATATATAATGCAAAATTGCATCACCAATCCAAAACGTCAAAATATAAGTTATTTTGTACAAACTTATTGAAAAGAAAAAAAGAAAAAGAAAAGAAGAAAATTTCAGCTATGGATTAAGTTGTGAACTAGCAGTTTCTCTAGAAGATATTGATAGATATAATTGAAGACCTCCACAGAATCATAGAACTATTTAGAAAAGACAATATTTTCCCTGAAGATTGGCTATAAAAATGTGTTATTTTATTCTTCCTAATATTTTGCTTGCACACTCAAGAAACGAGAGCCTGGATATTGTTAAGTGGTGATAAAAGGTGCAACTGTGCAGTAAGACTAATAAATAATTTACGCAAACAAACGGGAGGGATGCACAATGAAAGGCTTAAATTTTTAACAATTGGACGTACATTACCTGAATAACATGAGAAACATTTGGGATGTCAAGTCCACGTGCAGCAGCATCACTACAAACAAGTACCCCACCCCTTTCTTTGAAATCAGTCAAATTCTTCATACGCTCCTCCAGAGAACTATCACTATGGTAAGAAATGCATTCAATGCCAACTTTCAACAATATTTTAGCCACTGATTCGACAGCATCTACAGTATTTGCAAACACCATGGTCCAACTTACACCATTACTGGAATCGACACCTCCTTTCACTGCATCAATGAGTGCATCAACCTGTGTGTCCGTTGTCACTTCTGTCCACTTTTGATTTAACCTGGTACATGAAAGAACAGAACAGAACAATTTATTCCCATTTAAAACCTTTGGATGACTCCTCCATTGCAAGAATATGGATTAAACAGAAACACAAAAAAAAGTGGTTTTCTTAATGATAAAACAGACTTTATAGATTATATATGTATAGATGTATATGATCTAGCAATTTAACAAGACAAAGGCAGGGAGACAAGTGTTAAGACATGGTTCCAAAAAGGATAGGTATGTTCGACTGTACTGCACTTTCTGTGCTGCACAGACAGGTAGCTTCTATATCTCTCACATAAGAGTCTAAGACAAATGCAATGAATGCTAGACATTTGCATCATATATCAAACACTTCCTGACTATATTTTTGTTGTTGTTACTGAATTGCATGGTAAAATTATTTAATATTTTACTCTGATTGTAACTCCTGGATCAAGTGCCAGATTTCTCCCAAGGTTTTGCCATGGATAACACTACATAGTACACATCAATTGTAGAGATGCTTGGTAACTGGAAACAAGTAACTCACTGTGTCAAACAACAACATAAATTTGTTGTTGTTGTTGTTGTTTGTTCTTTTAGCAATTTTGGCACACTTGTTGCAGAAAGATTGCATGTGGTTATTTCAGTATTTAAAAAGTTACATAGATACAATGTATCATGCATTTGAGCATGCCAATATATACACTTCCGGCACCACCTTAGTTGCATAGATACAATGCATCACACATTTGAGCATGTCAATCTTTCAATCCTTTATCGTAAATCTTACACTTCTGCACTTTTATGCACTTCACTCACAGAAAAAGTAATATAATATTGCATAAAGAAACAGTATGAACACAAAGGGGTATAGAAACAAGAATTCTATTCCATGAACGTCATGGATAATTCCGAGTTGTACTCCCAAATAATTACCAAATAGCAATTTGAAGCTTCACATAAATAATGCAAGTAATGTACGTTATCTGATACAGGAGTTGTTACTGTCTTTTTGGTTTTGCCACAGTCAAATTTTTGTGACTCTTTCCCGATTTAATGACCTCTTTGAAATAAGTGCTACAATTCTCATGCGCAATATTCTACTGCAAAATGTCATGAGCCCCAAAGAAAAGTGCCTACATTGCAAGGTCGACCATAATGATAAATACAGGTTTTGACCCAAAGTGGAAAAAACCACTGCAACAAGCCATTTTTCCAGAAGGCCTTTTTTAGGAATATGTCAACTCTAAAAATTAAACATGCTGCTGACATAATGTCTAAACACGGAATGGTTAAGAGTAAACACAAATCATCATTCCAAACAATTCCATCTATTATAGCATGTGGGGTTTGAAATAGCCAAAAGATAAATGTTATGTCGATAGGATATCCAATTCAACTGTCTGCAAAGTTCGATCAAAGATACTGAATTTAGATGGGTTTCTTTTAGAGAAAGCCCATATTTGTTAGTGTTGATATGGAGACATCACCAAGAAAAGGACAGAACATACGAATACATTTTTTAGGTTCTGATTTCATGGATTGTTTGTTTCTTGTCTACTATTCCTATATTGCAATTATTAACAATGGCATCTTTGCTACGAAAGCCTCCTGAAATATTTGTTCACCATATGCAAATGAAAATAAAAGAGCGCGCTAAGATGCAATACCGGGGGTTGTGACGATGGAGGAAATTTCCACTGCACCAAGTTGCCCCAGGGAACATGCGTTTCAATATTCCACCAGCAGTTCTCTTGCCACTTTCAGGAAGGGTAGCAGCCACAAAAATGTATTGCTTACTACGCATATAGGTTTTTCGAACTCGCTTCCAATCATTCTCTTTATTTCCTTCAGCATTATCCTCCTTGTCAAAATCTTCAAGGGGAAGATCACTCTCATCATCCTCCTCAACAGTTGCAACTGGCTCGAGCTCCATTTCCTCTTCAGGCTTGAAGTCCACCCAAGATTTGACCATCTCCTTAGCTGGGCTATCAAACATAGAATGTCCCAATTTTGACAGTTTTTTCTCCTCAAACCGGAACATATTTATGAGCTGAACAACTTGATTCTGGAAACTCCCACATAACAACAGATCAGCTTCATCAAATACCTGCCATGCGAAATTATAAAGAGTATCACACAAAATGCTGCATCACATGAAGAATTAAAACCTCACATAATAACAAAACTTGTAAAATTTGTCTGAAAGTAAACAGAAGAATAATTGTCAGCAAAAATCATAAAACAAATAAAGACTTGCAGTATGATACATGTCCATTGCGATAGAAAATCAATAATAGAGATGAAGTAACTCTAATAAACATGGTTAACAATCGGTTGAGTTTCCAAATGAGGTAAACTTTTTTTATATTGCTACACATGAAAAGCAAGGAAGCATGTTTAACTCAAATATGGAAATTTACCACAGATTTCACATCCCGTAGAAAAGCAGATCGTCTTCTCTTTCTTGGGTCAAATGCAAAAAGGTTATTCAGAAGGGCAGCTGGTGTTGAAACAAGTATATCGGGTTGTCTCATTGGCCACCCCTGCAATCTCACACCTCTTTAAAAATGAGAATAAAATGAAGAATAGTGCAAGACCAGTTTTATATGTAAAAATTCATATGGTGCCTCTTTGAAAATATTGGGTCATAGCAAGTATTCATGCATAAATAAAATGGAAATTTTACCTGCCGCCCGCACACAGCTGATATGCTCAGAAGTGGTTCACCATCAGAGTTGCAAAGACATTTAGCCATTCTAACAACTTGCTCGCACAACATCACATTTGGGCACAGCACAAGAGAAAATTTGAGAGGCATCGGAAAAGATTGATTGTGATTTTTATCTTCCACTACATCAGCATTTGTGCACAAGTTGTCAATCAATGGAACCAAATAGCCATGTGTTTTGCCGCTTCCAGTCTCAGCTGCGACTACAATATCATTTCCTGAAAGAATCGATGGTATGCATGCGGCCTATCAGGATATACATAACGTTAGAGAGATGAGCCATTATTAAAATGTTATGAGTTACTCTTTTTATGTGATAACTAAAAGACAGATGATAAGGAAGCACTAAAAAATTAAATCCTAAACAGGCTAAACAATCTAACATAAAAAAGAAGATTCCATCATGTACTCACTACCTTTGCACTTCTAAGGAATAATTTACGACAATTTGTTTCAGTTCGGTGTAATCTAAATATCAGTCTACATCTGAAATTGCTGATGCACCGGTGTAATTGGTAGAACTTATTCTCTACCAAATGGAGAGCACTTCTCATTCAAAACTTTTGTGCCACGGAAGACTCAGCACAAGATCATGACAAAATTTGGTATTTTCAAGTAGTTGTTGAACAGGTGCTTTTCAGCTCTGGAGTTGTAGCTGAACTAATGAAGATGGTATCTGCCACCTTCTTTTCCATTGTGTTTATTCGCAGGGTATTTGGAGATTGGTTACCTGGAGATGCGGCAAATGACTGATTCTGGACACATCCATTGCAACCATGCTTAGGAACGGGATTGCCTTTAGATTCAAATCAAAAGGTCTACTAAATGTTTGGCTATCTCTTTACTTCACCACAGTTTGGATGTTATGGGCGGAACGAAACCATTGAGTTTTTCAGGGGAAGATATCCAGACAAGAACACTTTCTCAAGAGAATCACCTCTCATGTCTTATAGATTGCATGGCGGCAGCAGAAAGTCTGACACCCCATTCCGGTGGCATGGCCTTTTCCTTGTCCAAATCACTTTAAGTTAAATGTTGATGGGACTTCATTCCAGAATCCTAGACTTGCAGGTGGTGGAGGCATTATTAGAAGTGATGATAGCTCCTTTATTGCTGCATTTGCCAATCCCTTTGGCATAGCATCAAATAATTTTGCAGAGTTTCATGCCAAGCAGGGGTGGACCTGGCCATCTACTTAATTGTTTCCCTTTACAGATTGAGAGTGATTCATCATTGTTAGTTAATGTAATCCATGATCGTTACAAAAATCCATAGGCGCTCAATATTGTTGCTGTTAATTTGCCGATACAAGCTTTCTGACCGCGTTTGGTCCCTAGTCCACATTTATCGTGAGGCCAATGTGGTGGTTGATACACTTGTTATGAACGCCACAACTTTCTCAAATGTCAATATTTGGCGATCTAGACCACCGAATTTTCTTTCTTTTGTGTTACTTCATGATGTGGCACAAATGCCCTACTCTATGGTTGTAACTTTATGAGCCGTATTTTTTTATTATTATTAATGAAAAACTTTAGGTAGGTAGGAAACAAAGTTTTTAAGAGAAATAAGCTGAAAGATGGGTTTGTTGTTTAAATGTGTTAGGATACGTCAGTGTTGTTTTCTCTTCATATAGCTCAATAAATTGGTATTTGAGGAGGTTTGGTAACCAAAACTGAAGTTAACAACAAGCTTGAAAACAAGTGTTCTACTTTTAACAGCAGTGTTTAACAAGTGCTCGCTTGTTTACGAGTGCTTTAAAGCAATAAGGCTCCCAAGCCCCAAGAGTGTAGCTTGAAGGGGCAATGACAAAACAAATGTTAACTGTGTAGCTCGAAGAGGAAATGAAAAATGACAAATCTGAACACCCTTCCTCACTCTATTAAAAGCCTAACCTGAATCAGACATTCCACCTCTATCTACACTGTGGTATTCCTATTTAATCTCTTTTGCACCATTTGGGCCTTCCCCAGCAATATTCAGCAGCTACTCACTGCCTACTGTTCCCCCTCTTCTGAGGACTGTTCTGATTTTATGGTGTGCTTCTAACCCTGCCATACTGGGGATGGTATGGCTAGAGCGAAATAGTAGAAATTTTGAAAGTAAGGAATCACATTTCAAAGCAATGGAGGATTAAATCAACTGTAGTAGAGTGAGAAACAATTCAAAAAGAGTTCAACATGGTTTCTTCCATGGCTTTCCTGGCAAACTAGTCCCATATTGCATGCTCGTCCGTGATGTTGATCACGAGATCCTCGCACCGCCTAACACCTGGGAATGACATTATAAAGCTAAAATTCAAATGGTGCTCCCTCGATAATCTGGAAATTGGGGGCCATCGAGAGAGTAATTTGAAATAGCACAGGTTGCATTGTGCACTTCAAATGAAGCCGATATGCACGCACTGCTTACAGGCCTAAAACTGTTTAATCAGGCTCAGGGTCCATCTCTGGTGGTAGAGGGAGACTCAAGGTATGTTATAAACTGGGCCACCAGAATACTTACCTCTCATTGAGAGTGGAACACGTTTTTAACAAAATCTCTATAAGCTCTGGGAGTACATTCAGGTGTCCATCAGCCATGGAGACGAGTAAACTCTATAGCAGACTTGCCAAATAAGGGGCAACCCAAACCAGTTTTGTAATAATTACTCACCAAGACTAGAGGAACCATGTTTTGGCTGTTTGTCTCTTACCAGTGTTTCCCTTAGGGGGCCTCCAAATTGTAGAGAAGAATAGTACTGTATTTCTACAGTGATTAATACAAAATGTTACCAATTATCAGGAAAAAAATAGAACAGAAGAAATCATAAAGATATTGTTCCAATATTGAAGATTGATCTTGATTGCATAATTGGTTCCCATGTGTTCAAATGGATAAGAGGCTTCCTTATTTGAGACCCTTGATGGTCATATGCTCCCAGAAAGCAGATCGCAAATATAACCTTGTGCCACACTATTAACAACTATCATATAGAAGAAGAACTCCATAATCAAATAACTTATTCCCATTCTGATTGATGATTTAAAGAAACATCTTGTATTGTGGAATTGTCTAACTCAAGTTGATTGTATGCTAGATATGCATCTCCTACTTTATATGGAAACATCATAGCAATAGACCTACTAAGATTTTGCAGTTGCATTTCTGAAAAAGTTATCATATTAGCGGAAAAGAAACCATAAAATACAATGTCCCCCCTACAATAGTTGGCATTGAGATTGCTCCGAACATCAGAGCACATCTGTTCCTTGTTCAAAAACTTCATAAAGCAGCCATATTTTAGGGCTTCATTGACATTACTAAAATCTTAAAAGCCCAACTAACCTGTTAACATACATTTTTATATACTTCCATGTATCAACTATTACTCTGTGTTAGTTCCATTGTTGTTGAAGACGAGAGCGGGAACGGGAGCAAGATTGGTTTGGGAATCGCCAAACCGCCCTATTGCGAAAATTCCCTGGGTTTGGGATCGGCGTGTACAATGAACAAGAGAGGGAACGAGATCCTTAGGTTTATGGGAGGGAGATCCCATATCGATGGGTTCGAGGTTTTGACTAGCAAGAATCTAAGCTCCACTACACATTAAACGAGGTTGTTAAGTAGAGCTAGTACGGGTTCCCTTGGTTAAGGGATCGAGGTTTCCGTTTTTGATATAACAGGGTTCCTCTTGTTCTAATATCGAGATTTCTTCATGTATAGGAATCAAGGTCCTCAGTTGGTTGGCCCCAAGGTCTGCAACTACTATTGGTTAAGGGAACGAGTCCAATATGTACGTTATCCTCTAGTTAAATAAATCTATAGTGCCCCATTTCTATACATCACATACTTACATGCTACTTGATAAATGCTAAATACTACTGAACACTTTAATGTATGTCCATAGTCCATATTCCAAAATCCAATATGTACATATGAGTGTATGACAACCTCTAATTAAATAAATCCGTAGTGCCCTATTTCTAAGCATACATGCTACTTGATGCATACATGCTACTTGAAGAAATATTAAATACTTTTAGGCACATTACTATATAGTTTGTGGTCCATAGTCCAAAATGTAATATGTAATGCATCCTATGTTTAAATAAGTGCTATTTAAACCATATTTTTATGCAACACATGCCTCTATGCTTGATAATCTAAGGAGTATGGATTATTTTGCTACTTAGTCTGTGGTCTTTAGTCCAAAATCTAATGTGTATGACATACCCTATTTAATTAAATGCATATTACTAAAATTTGATACAGCACGTGCCTATATACTACTTGATAAATGCTAAAAGTATAGATCACTCTATTAGATAGTCCATAGTATACTTATGTACTCCATGCTTCTTATCTTTACTCCAAATCCCATTAGAGATATAACTTTAATAACATAGTCCCTCGGACCACCAAGATATTCCTTACACATAAATCCAAAAAATAATCTACAAGTACATACTTAGATCACCAACACGTACCCCACACAACCCCCCCCCACCTTCCCTCTTCCCCACCCAATTCCCCCCTCTATATTAACCCTTGGACCCAAAACCAAACCCTTGGACCCAAAACCAGCCCATACAGCTCCTTTTAGCTTTTGGTGATCATTCTGGTGAATCTGGTCGCTCCTCCCAACTCTCCCATGCTACAGGTATGTGCGCTTGTGCTCTTTCCTTGTGTATTTCTGTGACTCTTGTGTGTACATAAGAGAGAGAGAGAGAGTTGAGTGTGTGTGTGTGCAGTAGAGAGACGTGTGTGTGTGTGCGTAGTAGAGAGAGTTGTGTGTGTGCAGTAGAGAGAGTTGTGTGTGTGTGCACAGTAGAGAGAGAGAGTTGAGTGTGCATGCACAGTAGAGAGAGTTGTGTGCAGTAGAGAGAGAGGTGTGTGCAGGGAGGAGTAAGAGCGAGGGAGAGATAGTGACGCGATGAATGTTTTTCTTGTTGCTTTTCGTATATATTTTGTGATTTATGCCATAATCAGGTATTTGGATTGAAACACGAATTTTGCAAGGGCGATGCATTGAATTTCTAAGATTTATGTGATAAATCTGGATTTAGGATTAGAATATGAATGTTGTGTTGGTTACTTTGTCTTGATTTGACATTTTATTGGATAATCTGGTATTTGATCAGAGCATGAATACTGAATTTGTTGCTCTGTTAAAAAACTTGCCATTTGCATGAATACTGAATTTGTTGCTCTGTTAAAAAACTTGTCACTTATATAAAAAGGGGAGAGAGAGAGATAGAGGTGTAGGAATTGGGAGAGAGAGGTGCAGGAATACTGTAGAACTGGATTCATCTGTTTTTGAAAGTAGATTTCACATATATGGGACCCAAGATTATAATGTACTAAAACCTTGGACTATGTTTGATGGGAGCGGGACTCTATTTCAAAATAGTACTGGAATCCACTAATGGTTGGAAAGTGATCCCCTTTATTTGGGAGCGAGATCCCAAAATTGAGAAAACCGGAGTCCCTAGGAGATCCCTAGGAGGAACCGTGGGATCGAGGTTCCGGAGCGGGAACGCCACCCTACCAACATTGTTCCCTTACTATGGTCAGTTCACCTAGCCTAATGAAGCATAGTTACCAAGAGTTGGCATAGAATATGGGAAGTAGATCTAGTAAGCTAGTAAATTGAGGGCAACAGTTTTCAGCAATGTTTTAGTTAGTACGTCCCAGAATTATCAAGACTGGACCGCAAAGTCCGGTCCTACAAGTCAGACTGCCTATGGTTGCCTTGGCCGATCTAATCTAAAGCAAAAATCCGGTTTGGTTGAAAATTGATCAACACTAATGTTTGACTGGTTTCGCTTCGGTTGGTCGAATAGGTTTTAACCACTTTGATATTGATCCATAAAGTTAAGCAAACATTTTCAATAAATTTCATACTTTTAAACTATTATTACTACTTATCTTTTATCTTTTAAATCCAGTCCAACTAATTTAACCACCAATCAGATTGGTTTTGACAGGACCAAACCCCTAAGTAGTTCGGTGGTTGGTTATAAAGCCATAGCAGACTGCCAATTTGACCATTAGACAATGAAGTGTGCCTAGAACTGGGCCTAGTATTATCATCAAACTGGAGAGTCGCTCAAAATTCGTTAAGACTAGTTTGAATAGCTAGTCAGTTTTAAACACTTTCTTCAAGAAAGAAAAATTGTTTTATTTAGAACAGTCCAATTAGTTAAGACTAGTTGGAATTGCTTGTCAGTTTTAAACAATTTCTTCAAGAAATAATTTTTTTATTTATTTAGATCAGTCCAACCGATGAATTGGCTAGTCCTATCAGTTTGGATTGAATTGGTTCCCTCACTAGCTCGATTATGTACCATTAGATATTGCATTGATGTAATGATACATGATGGATGGCCTTTCGAAATGGACATTACTGCTAAATGAATACGAGTGACGCATGATATTAGTACGACATTCGTACATTATATATAAATACATATGTGAGTGCACTGATATGTATTTTACAACTAATAGTATGTATATGTTACATAAGGTTATAGGTATGGTTTGCAATATTTTTTGAGAAGCCTACACTGTGCAATATTACCAAATAATAATGATTCGCACCATATAAACAATAAACAAAGCCACACAATGATTAAAGGGGGCTCTCTTTTGAGGGTTGGGAGGGGGATGAGGTGTGAGATTTAAAGTTTGTTCCTATTTTTATTTTTTATTTTTTATTTTTTAATGAGTGTGACAGTTTTACTAAATGAGATCAAATACAACGAACAGAACAAAGATAAACTAGTCGCTAAAGGAGATGCCGGGGAGGCATCTCTCCCACCGCTCACGAGCACCCAAAGTAAATAGTAAACTGGAGTATCTCACTCCCTCCTTCACGAAAGCATCTGCTACCTAATTCACACTGTTATGAGTAAATATCTTTTTTGTTTCTTTGTTAGATAATATGTGTAGAAAGCTGGTTGGAAATCATATAAGAATTTTAGTAATAGTGTCATATGACTATACTTTTTCACTTACTGTTGAAAATATATTTCTAGGTACTTCAGAATCTCGATTGCATTTCAGGAATACTATGGAAATGTTTCCAAAAAATTCTGTACCTGTATTGGTTTATCTAATCGTATGATGAGGGAAAGAAATGGTTCCTGCATAACTATGTTATCAAGTTCACCCCACAAATTGCTTCAGGACTTGCAAAATGCAAGTGTACCTTTCAAATATAATCAGCGTCTTGTATTAGCAAGAACTTATCATGCAATTGAAAGGAAATTAAATGTCCTCATCATGAGGAAAATAACTTCTGTTCTCCAGTCCAATTTGTGGTGAATATGTACTACTTGAATGTATGACCCCACAATTGATCACTTAAGTATGTCGTGCTAAGTAGGGGGTAATAAACAATTGTACAAATGGTTGGGTTGGAATTACAGGAGATAATGGACACATGATTCTGTTTATAGAAGCAGCAACTCTACTCACATCAATAAAACAAAAACACTCTCCAGCAATAACCCAATACTACCGATCAAACAAATAAAAAATAAGCATCACAAACCTGCATTCCATCAAACAAATACTCCAAGCCATTCTATATTGAACAGAATCACAGATTTTCAAGACGAGTAATAACAGAATAACCCAAACATTTGATTTCAAGGTTTGCATCCAAATGATAATCTCTCTGTGCCTATGTGCATGGAACACAAGCATCTCTCTCTATTAGGCAGCACATATCCAAGCATTTGAAACTTAATATCCAAATATTTCTGGAAAGAGAGAATTACCTGAATAATTGATAAGCTTAATATCCAAATATTTCTAGAAAGAGAGAATTACCTGAATAATTGATGGGTTTCGAAGACCGGTGGCTGAAAGAGAACGGGAAAGCCGGTCAGAAATACCAAGAGACTTCCAGGAGGCCCCTTCCGCAAAGAAGTCAGATCTTTCCATTTTCTCCCTAGATACTGGTATCTCCGGTCCCTCTCTAGGGGTCTCAAATTGCGGTTCCTCCATGCTCTCTCTTAGTCTAAGGGGAGCAGCGGCCATTAGAGGAGTGAAGCGGTGGCGTGAGAAGGGGATGCCTGAGAAGCCCCTCCAAACGCCAAGGGAAGCAGGTGATGAGAGCCATGGATGAGAGGGGAAACAGAAAGAAGAAGAAGAAGAAGAAGGGCATCTGCACCTGCAAAATCGCAGCGCAGAAGAAGCGTAAGGCAACATTTCGCTCAGAGACTTGAGAGCAGCACGAGTCCAGAAAGGGAATAGACGCAGAGTATTGGCGAGCGTTATATTATACTCCCTCGGGAGTATGCGGTTCATTTACTCTCTCGCAGAAGTAGTGGTTTTAGCATCCTATTTTGTAGTTATAACATCTTTCGGACATAGATTAGCCTCAATAAAAAAAAAAAATTATAATTTCACCTTCTAAGTACTTGCAAAAAATAATGTCTCACAATTGAATAGAAACAGTTTGATTTTTAGATAGTCAGATCTCATAATCATTATCATCATCCAAACATTATCTTAATTATTTGAAGATGGCTACATGAACCTTGTTTTTCCATTCTTCTCTAACAAATACTATACCTTTAGTAAGACCAAAAGTCACGATAATTTTTTTCAGTAAGATAAAAAATCGTCATATCTTTTCTCACTACTTCCAACCATGTCTTTTTGGACCCACATTTTACTCTTTTTTGGTATTTTACTTGAACTAACTCACATCTCCTATCGAGTGTTGTATTAGGTCTGCGCTACATATAATCAACCTACCTAAGTCTACTATCTCTCATCTTATCGCTTAGTGGTGTTATACCTAAATTTTTTAAAATGTATTCATTTTGAATTATATCCCTTCTTGCTCAGCTACTCATGCAACTCAATATCCTCATCTTCACTACACTCATTCTATGGGTATCTTGTTTTTTGATCGCCCAACATTCTACCCCATAGTGCAAAGCTGGCATCACAGGTGTCCCATAGAACTTGCCTTTCAGTTTCATTGGTATGTGGCGATCACATAGAATTCCGGTTGCACATCTCCACTTTGTCTATCCAGCTTTAATTCTATGTGCGACACCTTCCTCAATATCTTAATTTCTTAGATTATCAACCCAAGATATCGAAAGTGCATTCTTTTTTGTATTTTTTGGCCATCGAGCTTAACTACTTCCTCGTCTCTATTCCTATCACTATTAATCTTGCATTTTATATATTCTTAATCTGGCTAATTTTTAAATATTTAGATTCTAGAGTATCCCTCCCAAGTTCTAACTTTGTGTTGGCTTCATTCTAGTCTGACTGATCAAAACTATGTCATCTACGAATAACATGCAGTACGATAGCTCATCTAGTAGGTTCCTAATTAAGTCGTTGATAACTAAGACAAAGAAGTATGGGCTCAATGTTGAACCCTGATGTAGATCAATTGTCATTGAAAACTCTCTCGTCTCCCCATCAGGTGTTCGTATATTAGTTACTCCATCGTACAAATCTTTCACCAAGTCAATGTAGTGTCTAGGGACTCTTTTCTTTTCCAACACCAACCAAATCAAATATCGAGGTACTCTATCATAAACTTTCTCTAGATAAAAAAAGACTATGTGGAAGTCTTTCCCTTCGCTCTAAATTTTTCAATCAGTTGTCTAGGTAGGAAAATAGCCTCAATTATTGATCTTCTTGGCATAAAACCAAATTGATTTTCAGATACACTCATTTCATGCCTTAGTCATTGCTTAATCACTCTCTCTTAGAGCTTCATTGTGTGGCTCATAAGTTTGATCCTTTGATAGTTCGTACAATTCTACATATCTCTTTTGTTCTTGTAAATAAGTACCATAATAGTTTTCCTCCATTAGTCTGGCATTTTCTTTGTTCTCAACACCTTGTTAAACAACTTGACCAGCTAATCTCTTAATGCACTTCCAAACCTCCATTGGGATACTATCTAGTCCTAAAGCTTTTCTTACCTTCATCCATTTCAAAGCTTGTTTCACTTCCGATGTTCTAATCCTATGAATATATATATAATCTCCACCCTCATTTATGCTAACCATTCCTTCTACTGCTATGTTCCCATTGTGTTCGTTATTTACTAATTTTGAAAATAAACTCTCTACCTTTCATTGACTTATTCATCATTAATCAAGACTATTTGATTCTCACTCTTAATGCATTTAACATGGTTTAGTTCCCTACACTTTTTTCTCTTATTTTTACTAGTTTGAAGGCATCTTTTTCACATTTTTTTTGTTTCAGTTTATTGTATAGATTATCATATCCCTTAAGTTTAGTTTTACTAACTATTTGTTTAGCAATTTTCTTAGTATGT